GTCCCTCCCTCAACACTTCAAAGGATAAAGTTCTCCATTAAAAGAAAGATTTTTTTTTCTTTTTCTTTTTTCTGGTTTGTTGTTTCAGAGTTCCAGCACTTTAATTGTCCGATTTAAAGTAAATTTTTTTTATGCTGTAGCATAACTTGAGTTTGCTTGGATTGATTTACTGGAAAATTTACACAACTGTTGGAATTGGTGATAATAAACATAGCTAACAGTTTGATTTAAAACTAGTTCTGATATGTAATTCTAGAGTTGTGAAACTTCAACCGTCAGATATATTTAAAAGGCATTTTTTAATGTCATGCACCAGCTCTAGTATGCATTGATACTGCTGTTGGGATTGATGAATGTAGGCTAGCTTTTGGATTTGAAATATTTTGGTTTGTCATTCCAGTTATTTGGACTTTTAACTGTCATAATTGACACAATTCTTATAGCCTAAGGGTATCCTCATACATTTTTTTATTTAGAATTATTGTATTGCTTTTGATTAAATGACTTCTAAATATACCATTTTATTCTTGGACATTGTTGCAATAATTTTGATATGTACAATAAGTAGAATCATGCATTTTTGGCGCAGCTGCTTATTTTTCATATTTATTAAACATGTTAAAAGGCTAAAGGTTGCAATTCTGTAAATATAGACAATGCAATTTCCCATAGGAACTCCCTTTGCGGCTAAAACTGTGACACTTTTACTATGAAGTTTCGTGAAAAATAATATCCCAGAACGGAAAGTTTATATGCACTACTATTTTATTCAAAGGTCAAAATATAGGGCTGTGCGGCATATTTTCAACATTTATATGCCCTGAACTTCTAAGAGTTTAAACTTATACTAAAATTCTATACTACCCTTACCTTCATATTTGGACCTCCTAAGAATTAAAATTTAGGCGCTACCATGTTTTTCTATACTGGTTACATTCCCAAGTGATGTCTCTATGAGATGAAACAAAGAGATCATAAATGGGAACCAGTACATTAACAAATTAACATATCTATGAATATTATATATCTCCCCAAAAGAGGCGTGGTTTGAGAAACAGCTGTATTTACAAAGTGCAACCTATACAAACATTTATTCAAATAGAAAACCTTCTAAAAACACTTTTTCTCACAACAATACTTGTTTATCAGAATTATAGCCTTAAGGAAATCACTGCATATACTCTAAGTTTCCTTTTACAGTACATTTTATACCCCTACCCCTATTTCAGTTTTTTAAAGAATTTGAAAACAAGACTTTAATCATTGCCAGCTTACCCTATGTGCATGTTTTCTGACATGAAATGTCTAAAACATGTTTGAAACTATTCTGATAACAAATTGAAAGCATTTTAGAATACTATAAATGTATTGTTTAGTAGTTAATCATTCCAACATTCAAGATTATACAAAGTATCCAATCCTGCCTGTGTCTCCATTCCACATCTTACTGTATGCCTATTTGTCAATTAAAGTTCACAATTTATGTCTCAAATGGTCAGTTAAGAATTCTTGTCACAACAGTATATCATCTCTAACCATATAACTAACATAATTTAGTTAATGTATGAACTAGAAGTGTCTAAACAAAGCCATATTTGCAAAATTGTATTTAAAAAGATATCAGTCTGGTGCATAAATTCACTAAAAGTTTGATAGAAATGACTGCTTACATCTTATTTTTGCATAACTTTCCAGCACAGTTATTGTTTTGTTTACAAAAGACCTTGAAAATAATAAAATCATAGCATTGACAAGTTAAATTATCTGTTTTATGACCCCGGGTAGGCATTTTTTTCTGTTTTTGTCCCCTTGGGCCTCTTATTTCCTAAATATTTTCCCTGTTTCTAGCAATGTGGAGTATTTAGTATATATTTAGGAAAGAACACACTATTGTAAGTTTTATTGGGGTCTTTTTGTAATTCTAGCTTGTACTTTTTAATGCAGCGGTCACAAAAAAACACATTTAGGTGTTACGGCTTACTTTTGGGTTATCGACAGGACAAACATAACCTAACAAAATTATTTAGGAAGGACCAACGAGTTGCAATGACTGCGAAGAGTAAATATAAGCACTTCTGAACAATTTAAATCACAAATAGGCATATATTATGAATTTTTTTTGAATTCAGGGCTTTAAGTAAACCATGCATACTGTAAACTGTGAATTTATGCTGAGTCATCATAGTTAAGGCTCAGGATTTTCTCAATCTTCATGAAATATTTATAAAACTTCATATTTGAGTTAAATTCTTTAAAATCTCTGAGATAAACCAGATTTTGTGAAATTCTGTATGTTCTATTTTTTAACCCTATATAGGTTGCAATTCTGTAAATATAGACAATGCAATTTCCCATAGGAACTCCCTTTGCGGCTAAAACTGTGACACTTTTACTATGAAGTTTCGTGAAAAATAATATCCCAGAACGGAAAGTTTATATGCACTACTATTTTATTCAAAGATCAAAATATAGGGCTGTGCGGCATATTTTCAACATTTATATGCCCTGAACTTCTAAGAGTTTAAACTTATACTAAAATTCTATACTACCCTTACCTTCATATTTGGACCTCCTAAGAATTAAAATTTAGGCGCTACCATGTTTTTCTATACTGGTTACATTCCCAAGTGATGTCTCTATGAGATGAAACAAAGAGATCATAAATGGGAACCAGTACATTAACAAATTAACATATCTATGAATATTATATATCTCCCCAAAAGAGGTGTGGTTTGAGAAACAGCTGTATTTACAAAGTGCAACCTATAGGAGCAAACAGATAATTGGTAAATACCTTGCACACAGTTGCCTAGTAACCTGATACTAGTAGTTTGTTGATTTTGTATGAATAAAAAGAGATGTTGGTTAAAATCAATCAGATGACAAACTTACAAAACAATAACCACAGTTGTGAATGAATGGAAACTATTAATAGATATACATGATATAGGAAGATGTGGTATGAGTGCCAATGAGACAACTCTCCATCCAAGTAACAATTTATAAAAGTAAACCATTATAGGTCAAGGTACGGCCTTCAACACGGAGCATTGGCTCACACCAAACAGTAAGCAATAAAGGGCCCCAAAAATTACAGTGTAAAACCATTCAAACGGGAAAACCAAAGGTCTAATCTATAAAAAAACGAGAAATGAGAAACACGTATGAACTACCGGTACATATACAGACCACAACTACTGTACATCAGATTCCTGACTTAGGACAGGTATGAAACATGTTAAAGATCTGCCATTAACATTACATTCTTTATATAACAAAAAAAAAACATTAAGATGTATGGCACCAGACAAGCACTGGTGAGATTTGTGACTTGATGCAGGCACATGAATATGTGGCTTGGTTAATAAACTTGTTTTTTATGAGTTCAATTCTCTCCATTTTAAAAACTTGATCAGTGGACAAACAAACAGAAAAGAACATACTATAAAACTCAGTACAGTAAAAATAAACTTTACTCTTGAAAATGGGTATATATATATATATATAATAGTTTATATATAAATAACACCCAAATTTAGAATGCTCCAGTCATGCAGGATTTGTAATGTGTTTTAATTGTATAAAGAGTTCAGGCCCTTGCTATTATGAAATATGGATTGTAGACCTTGCAATATAACTACAGAAACAGTAGTTATAATGTATTTTTATGCCCCCGCCGTTGTGGAGGGGGCATTAAGTTTTACCCTTGTCGGTCTGTACGTATGTCTGTCCATACATCCGTCTGTCCGTACGTCTGTCTGTACGTCCCAAAGTTGGTTTCCGTTCTCTAACTTTAGTTGCCTCAACCAAATGAAACTTTTACATAATGCTTATTACCACAAAAAACAGATCAAGTTTGAATTTTGTTGGCATCACTTTTACCGTTCTAGAGTTATGCCCCTTTACAAATGGAAAAATTGCTGAATTTTTCGTTTCCGTTCTCTAACTTTAGTTTGCCTCAACCAAATGTAATGAAACTTATACACAATGCTTATTATCACAAAACACAGATCAAGTGTGAATTTTGGTGGCATCACTTTTACTGTTCTAGTGTTATGCCCCTTTACAAATGGAAAGATTGCTGAATTTTTCGTTTCCGTTCTCTCAACTTTAGTGTGCCTCAACCAAATGTTATGAAACTTATACACAATGCTAATTACCACAAAACACAGATCAAGTTTGAATTTTGGTGGCATCACTTTAACCGTTCTAGAATTATGTCCTTTTGCAAATGGAAAAATTGCTGAGTTTTTATTTCCGTTCTCTAACTTTAGTTTGCTTTAATCACAATCATGACAGTACCTTTTACCACAAAACTCAGATCAAGTACAAATTTGGGTAGCGTCACTTTTACCATTCTTCAGTTATGTCCCTTTATAACTTTATATGATATGCAAGTGGGGGCATCATCGACACATTCCCCATTTATTTTTAATCTAATTCCCTTGTACTCCTGATAGTTTTTGTCTTGCCTGCGATGAAAGTCATGGAAATGTGAGACAGGCTGAGGGATTACTTTTCTGGCGACTGCGATGGCTTTGGCGACGACAGCGTCAACAATTGTTAAGTTTTCTGCTAAAGTTAGTTTGATAGGAACTTTTTGTGATAGATTATTGATATTTAATATAAAGTTGCATTACTATCAGTATATATCAGTTTGACGACTATTTTGAAGCCCTGCCCCCTAGATCATAGCTCAGTGACTGAATTAATTGTTAAGTTTTCTGCTTAATTTAGTTTGATAGGATCTACTTGTGATAGATCAATGATATTTTGTATGAAGTCGCATTACTTTCAGTACATATCAGTTTGACCACAATTTTGAGGCCCTGCCCCTAGGACATGGCCCAGTGACTTAATTAGTAATTTTCAATTTTTAAGTTTTCTGCTTAAGTCAGTTTGATAAGAAATACTTGTGATAGATCAGTTATTTTTTTTCGCCGACAGGCATGACATATCTCTGTGTCAACAGTTTATTTCATTTGTACATTTATTTTCAGACTTTACAATGTAACCATGGAAACAGATATTTGGTATTATTTGATGTTGTTGCCTAGTACCCTGATTGTCTTGGTTATTTGTATGTTTATTAGATGGTTAGGACTGAAGTTTTACCAGCATAATTAAGTTTTTGGTAGAGAATTATACACCTGATGTACAACTACAGTATATCAATACTTAAGTTAGGTATGTTGAATTTTTTTGTAAATATTATTATAAAAGGTTCCATCATGTCATGCATGTCCATGGCTGGGTAAAATGAGACTTTCTGCATGAAAAAAAAATCACCATCAAAATAACTTTATATAGATATAGACTTAATACATGTAATCATGGTAATAGAGAGTACCATTATGATGGTCTTCAGTGACAAAAGTTAAAAGCTTTAAAAAATATGTCACACCAGATAGATACATGTATTTTCAGTATTACTTAACAAATATATTGTTTTTTTAAACGTAGATTTACAGAATGGACTTTGACTTATCAGAGTGGACGGTGGATAGCAGTGCAGTACAGTTAAATAAACAATTATTTGATTCTGCAGGCGGTCCCTTAATTAATGACTTATTTCAAAAGGTAGGGAAAAGTGTAAAAAATGCTGTCTTTTCATTTATATATTTTATGTGAAAAAAGTAGGTTATGGGTATACTTCAATGAGAAAGCTTTGCTTTCTTTTCTTATTATAATCAATATTTTAATTCTGATCATGCTGATGAACTGCTTTGACTTGGTTTAATGTATGACCTGAATGATTTCTAAGTTTGTACCTTTGTAACAATTATGTGTAAATAAATCTTCAGTTATAAACCCAGAATGTGGATCAATTATTCAAGTTGTGCATCTACCATTATTGAGTTGATAAAGCCCCTTTTAACATTTTGTTTGATCATATATTTAAATGTTCATTATAGACCATTCTTAATCGTTTAAGACATCTTCTGTACCGGTCCTTTGCTTTTGCGCCAATTGGCATTTCATTTGCGCCAAAATAATCTTTCATTTGCGCCACAAACCATATTTCATTTGCGCCAAAATAAAACATTTCATTTGCGCCAAAATAAAACATTTCATTTGCGCCAAAATGAAACATTTCATTTGCGCCATTAATATAGGTAAATACATGTGAATAATATAAAAAATAGTTTTATACAAAAGAGACTTTTAATACTAACTTTAAAACAGTTCTTGATTGCATGATAAAACATATTCCTCCGAAATCAGTCATCATAACCATAATGAAAGCACTATAAAATTGAGAATGGAAATGAGGAATATGTCAAAGAGACACCAACCCGACCAAAGAGCAGATAACAGCGGAAGGCCACCAATGGTTCTTCAACGCAGAGAGAAAATCCCGCACCCAGCGGTGGGCTTCAGCTGGCCCCTAAATAAAAATATGTACTAGTTCAATGAAAATGGACGTCATACTAAACCCCAAAACATATAAATGAACTAAAATTAAAAAAACATACAAGACTAACAAAGGCAAGAGGCTCCTGACTTGGGACAGGCGCAAAAATGTGGCGTGGTAAATTATGTTTTCACTTTTGTCAGATCTCAACCCTCTCCTTATACCTCTAGCCAATGTAGAATAAACTATACACTGATACGTTCTGAATGAGAGACTTTTCATAATAATGTTAAAACACAATTCTTTAACCAAAGTTCATATTAAGTGGAAGAAAGCAATTATAGGCCACCGTGCGGCCTTCAAAAGTTAGAAAAACACAAACAGCCCTGACATGAAAAATCTAATGGTCTGTTTGATGTAAAATTGAAAATGTCAATCTTGAAACCTCAATCATGTGAACTCCATTTAGATTTAAACCTAAGTGACTCTCAGTTTTGTATTAGAAATGAGTATGAAATTACTTAGTTATTCAAGAGTGTAGCAATGAATAACATTTTCTGTTATATGTTACTTGTAAAATGGCACAAATGTAGTTTTCAATTTTTGGTGCAAATGAAAAATTGGATTTTGTAAAAATTGGCGCAAATGCAATGTGCCCATTCTGTACAACCTGGTAGTTCGAGTCTTCAATCCAATTTAGATTTTGAAAGTTATCTCATATTATTTATATTATAGAAGAATGATTTTATGAAAGCTTTATGTAAGAAAGTTTAATTCAGAAAATTGTTGATATACTGTCGAATAGTCAATGTCACACTACAACAATGTTTATTTTATGCTGAAAAATGATTTGTTTAAGCAATTTTTTTTTTATATGAAAAAATCTTAAGCTCCTTTCCCATTTTCCAGATGACAATAGATGTATTCAGTGATTACAAAAAGTAGTATTATTCTGGAGATGGGGAAGTAAAAACTTGTATACATGGGATTAAACAATGGCATGACCTTCTTATGGTGTCTTCAAACACTGTCAATAGATACTGTTCTGTTTACAGTAATTTTTCATAGTGGTGTATATAAACATTAAGAAAATTATATATCATGGTTTTATTTATGAAATTGTAAATTTCATTTGACAAATGTGTATTTTACAGCATCAACTTACTCCCTCACCTGGTGTGAAGGTAAAAAAGAAAAAAAGACAAAGCAAATTACAAGTCAATGAAGATATACCAAAAAAACAAAGGAAGATTGCTGAGGATAACCATAAAACAGATAATGACATTACAGATGTTATAACTAAAAAGTTGAAAAATGAAACAAAACAAGGAAAGCTGAAACAATTGAAAAGTGATGAAAAAATTAGAAAAAACAAAATAAAAAGTGATAAGAAGATTTTTGCAGAAAAGAAACAAAGAGAAACAATGAAAACATTGAAAAGGAAACATGATCCAGAAAATCAAATTGATGCAGTAAGTCATGAAAAAATTGAGAAAGGTAAAACGAAAAGGATGAAAAAAATGAAGAAGGAAAATATTGAAAATGACAATGATGTTAAACAGTCTAGTGGTGGAAAGATTTCAAATTCAGAAACTTGTGAAATAGAAGCAAAAAAGAAAAGAAGAAAAAAGAAAAAGAATTCAAGCAAGAAAAATAAATATAAACATTTGGATGAAATGAGGAAAGCCAAAACATTAAGTACAAATGATGGAATAGTTCATGCTGAACAAACAACTGTTGCTAAACCTATTAAAACTTGTAAGGGAAAAAGTTCACAGAAGAAGTCAAATGATGAAATAGTTCATTCTGAACATATTAAAAAAAGTAAGGGAAAAAGTCCCAAGAAGAAGTCAAATAATGAAATAGTTCAATCTGAACAAACAACAGGTGTTTTTTCTGAAGATGTAAAAACACATACACGTATAAATAAGGAAAATAGTTCACAGAAGAAATCAAATGATGTGTCAAAACTTCAACAAAGCAATAAAAAGGCTAAAGAATTAAGCAAGACAGAGGAGCCTGTGAAAATAGTTTCAGAAGGAAAAAAATCATTAAGTGACTTTGAAAAGTTTAAAGCTCATAAGACTGAAAAGCATAACTTCAGAGATGATATGCAAACAAAAACAAATAAAAAGTTACCTTTTAAGGTATCAACCCTACAAAAAGTTCTAGGTGATAGTAGCAGTTCAAAGGATAACTCTAGCAGTACAGGGAAAATAGAGACTGGTTCCAAGTCTACTGTTAACCAGGTGGACAAGAAAGAAAAAGCTGAACACAACCCAGAGAAAGATGCAAATACGCCAGAAAAAGACAAACATAAGCCTCCAATATCATTACGTGAAAGAATGATGGACCAACTGAAATCTGCTAGGTTTAGGTTAGTTATGTAGGCAATGTTTAGATAAGTCTGATTAGTATTGAATTAATTTGAACTTTTTCGAAAATGATTATAAAATAGCAGAATTCAAAAGCTATTCTGAAAGTTTGAACTGAACTTCATGTGTATTTATTTGTATCGCTTATCTTTGAGTGATAAAGGAGGGTATCAATGCCCTTTACCGTCAGGCGTGAAACGGCCATTTTCGTCTACCCTTAGCATCAAATTGGTTAACATTTTACGTGATTCGTCAAAATATCCTTATTGTGATTCGTCAGAGGTCTCATATAATTATCGTTACCGTTATTTTTGGAAAAAAATTACCAGGATTAGTCAAAATCAGTCGATTTTTGTATCGTCTAAAAAAGAGTGTACATTTGATCGTCATGCACCAAAATTACCGTTAACATCATTGGTCAAGAATTTTTACCGTTATTCGTCATGAAGGTACCCACATTACGACCCTAACAAAGAGATATACATGTATCACAAAATGCCTTCCTACCTCAACCCCAGTCCTCCATGAATATATTTTTAGGCATGATAGAGATAATCATTAGGTATAATTGTTTCTACACAATTTATAGTTTAAGGCTTGTATTTTAAACCAACTGTGTTAATCATGTTAATAGACTATGTTTATATTACCGACTTTTGGTCTCGGATTATATAGTTTTTAGACAGGTTGCCTAATCTGAGGTAGGACATCCTGGTACTCAGACAGGTAAGAGCAAACAAAAGAAGTAGAAGTAATCATATAATCCGTGGAATTTAGTGCGAAAGTTTACTGTTTTTTCGATTATTTTGTCATGTAGAGCATACATGTATAGAAAACATAAAACAGTTAATTTTCCCCCAAAATTGTACCGCTTGATTTCACTTCTTTACATTGCTCTCACTTGACCAAGTACCAGGATGTCCTTCCAAAGAGTAGGTAACCTGTCGAAAAATATAAACTCTGTCAAAAATAGGTAATATGAAAATAGTCTATAGGTTCATATATCCCAGTTCCTTAAAATTTTAAATAAAACTTGATGAAATACTGGGGCTCTCTTTAAGTAAAGGAAAGACTACTCACTGAAAAAACAAAAAAGGAAATCGACTATGTCAGACCTAGCTATATGTTTATGTTTTTGGTTCAACAATCCTATCATCATAGAAATTGGAGAACAATGGACAAAACAGTTTTTTTTGCTCAACACACAAAACAAAAATTTATTCTAGAAAATTATGAGAAATTTGAAAAACCAAAATATTTTGAGAATTAAATTGGAGATGTATGTTAGATGAACAGTGGTTTAAACACCATAAGCAATCACATGTAATTATTTATTACAATGGGAGATAACTCTTTATTTTAGGTATATTAATGAGCAGCTGTATACCCAGACAGGTTCTGAAGCAGTACAGTTGTTCAAGGGTGATACAGAAGCATTCCATTGTTACCATGAAGGTTTTCAGAACCAGGTGAACAAATGGCCAACTAATCCAGTAGATCTCATCATCAAACAAATCAAAGCAGGGTCAGTGTTTACTCTTTTTTCTTGTTGTAAATACTGAATACATGTATTGCACATATATATATATATAAGTTTTGTATTAGGAGGGGAAATTCAGGATTGGGCCTTTTTTTTGTGGTAATTTTTTATTTACACTAAATAAGGACTCTGGAATTAATGATTAATTTTTTAGGATCCGGGAAAGAGTGTTAAGTTTTTTCAGGAATTCAGGATGACACCCCTTTCTATCATTCTATTAAAGCTATACTTTTCTCATTTTTTATGGTTGTTTGATGATTGATTGTTGGTGTTTAACATCACTTTCAAACCTATTGGCAATATTGTGGTGGTTATTATTTTTTTTGGTTTGTGGAAGCTGGAGTGCCAAACGACAACCACTGAATTACAGGCTCCTGACTTGAATAATAGCTAAGTTTTTCATTACTATGAGGCACAAAACAATATATCCAAGTAACAAAATGATGGGTATGTTTTTAACCATACCTGAAACAATTATCGATATGTCCTTACAAATGTAAAAGAAGAGTAATTTTCCCCTATGGCCAGAAATCCAGGACAGACCACATATTTTGGTAAGAAAAGATTGAACAGACATGTATCCTTTCTTCTTTTTCAGTGCCAGTACAGCTGTTATAGGAGATTTTGGATGTGGTGATGCTAAGATAGCCAGAAGTGTCCCTAACAAAGTTCACTCATTCGATCTTGTGGCTTTAAATGAGCATGTGACAGTGTGTAATATTGAAAAGGTACCAGATTAGTTAATTGTCAAGAAACCCAGTCAAAAATAATACTGGGGATTTGGACACCTGACCCAAATCCAATCCTTATTTAGTGCAATATTTCCTATGCATTTCTAACCTTCCCAACCTGATTAAAATACAGATTCTCTGTTCAAGCTTTGCTTAATACAAGGATCTGAAAATGCTCTATTCTACTTCCTGTTTTAATGACCTTTCGGGATCCTCTGGTTTTATTAGATTAATTTGCACCTTTAAAAATCTGAAGGCTGAAACATCATTGGCTGATGTAATAATTACCAGAACAGAAAGTAAAGCAGAGTGTTGTCAGATCCTTGTATTAAGCAAAGCTTGAACTCTGGATCTGTATTTTAATCAGATTATAGACTTCCAAAACTAGAGCTTGGTCTGTTTCAATATTTGTCAGATAATGTATTAACTACCAATAGCTTTATTGAGGTTCACAACTAGAATCAAACTATACCATACTGCTATACCTCCAAGACCATTTATCTCATAATGCTGGAATACTTAAGAATGTTTGTCAATATGTGCGACTGATCATACATTACTTCCATTTAATTTTTGAAACTTTTTTACAAGGATTAAGGACCTATGTAGCATAAACCATTTGAACTGTAACAAACTAACTTGTTGGATACTTTGCCATCGTGTATGTTTGACTCCTCTAAATTGCCATATAAAAACAGAAAGATGTGGTACAATTGCCAATGAGACACATTAAGTTTTCAGTTGTGCTGCTTAGCAAGCAATCATATGTCCTGACATGAAAAATGTTAATCGATTTGATAGTGTAAAATCAATAAACAAGGTTGATTTGACAAACATTCTGATTGAGTAAGGGGACTTTTGACCAATTTCAAGCCTCTTGTACATGTTATGATCAATGCTTTCCTATAAAGATCAAGTCTGAAATTATTCATACAGAGGGAGGTTTTTTGTCATTTATCATGTTTAAATAGACTTTTTTTTACATTATTGGGAATAATGTGACTACAAGTTCTATGACTATTGATGCTGTTGTGATTCTTATTCTGCTATTGAATGCAAGGTATAATAAATAAATAAACTGATATCTAATTTGGGATCTTAATGCATGCTGTTGTTCTGCACTCTATTTTTTAAACAAACAAACAATAATAGAATATCATTTTAAAGAAAGGATTTGAATGGCATATACAAACAGTTGAAATGAAAGATCTATGTTTGGTACCAATGTTAATCTTACAAGTATTTGTTGGTTCCTGTTTCATGAATGTTTGTCTCATGTTCATTCATTTATTCATATTGACAAACATAAAGAAATATATACATGCATAATATCAGAAGTCCATTACTAGACGAAGTGTGCAACCTGTGCTATATAGTAAGGCGATCACGATGTCCCTTTATCAGTGGAAAGCGCCATTGGTGGTCCCCCCAAATCTCGTTTTATAACTATGGAATCATGGGTAAAAATATTATCATCGAACAGATAGCTGTTAATTAGTCTCCTTGAGCGTTTGATTAATTATCAGTTTGTTGTAAATAAAGTGAGCCGACTTAGTGTTATTTAACTTCTTCATTTTAATTCAGTCAACATTAAGAAAATGATATAAAATTTTATAAACAAATTCATTGGTACCATTTTTCATCGCGCAAAGGCAAATGAGAAACTATAAAATCTGCCGTGTCGGACTAAAAATGTATCGTCTATCTAATAGATATAGTTGTTTTTGTCAAAATATAGTCATAGTTTCCTCTTTTTTTTAATAAACGTTGTGTTGACGAATTATGTTTCGCCATCATTAAGATGTATACGTGAGTCAGTGTTGCAAAGTCCTTTTTGTTGTTTTATACTCACAAGAATGAAGACATCCGTAGATCATGCGGAATTAAAAAAAAATTTTATCATGTGTTGCTAGCTCGGCGTTCAGTGGCAAATATATTATGCATATCCAATCAAAGAGTTGTCGCAAGTGTTATTTAGCATCAGAGAACGTAACATTCATTCTGAAAACGCGTGGTAGTGGATTTAAAGTAGCCTGGGATCCTGGCTAACTGCTCGACGAAGTATTAGATTGGGTCAGGATGCCAGGCTAGATTTAAATTCCCTTCTCCGACCTGATGCGGCTGTTATTAATGTATATATCCCAAACTTGTAAGAAAGGGTTTTACTGCTGGAACCGGACAATTCCAGGGAATATTTTATTTCTTTACGGCACAACTTAACCCTTGAGATTGATTTAGTATTTGAACAAATTAAATCAAATTGTCCTACAGCTAGGTTTTTGAAGTAGGACTTCGTCATATTTCAGTATGAAGTATACTTAGTAATACATAAAGAATCTATATTTATTACTCATTTGTTAACAAAGATCGTGATCGCAACTTTTCTTACAATTTTAACCTATAAAATCTATATGTCGAAAGCACGTGTTGTGAACAGCATTTTTACATGTATTTTGACGGATAAGTCATTAATGTAACAATATCTGACTGAAATGATAACCTTTGTTCGTCCACACCATCACCGAGGTAGTATTACTGTCAAGATCTCAGTTACGCAGGATCGAAGATATTCGAAATTGAAGAAAGGGCATACTATTATTTTCCCTTCTCTTTTCAAAATTGAGGGTACAATTTGTTAATTTTGCTAAAAATGGTTATATCTACAGAAATCCCTTGTAACTTTAGAAAAAAATCTTATTTCTTGAAATTTGTAAACCGTAACATATTCTTAAAATAAATATAAATTATAAAGTTTATTCCTATTAAACTCATTCCTAATACTCCAGTGTTACTTGTACTGCATATGGATACACAATTTTCCGACCTAAATTTCCTTGCCAATTTTTTAATGGCAATTTGTTCACAATTAATTCTAAAACCAAACGTTTATGTACTAAGAAGTCACGGAGCTTTTTTTTTTCATTCCGTTTGACAATTTTTCTACATAAGTTGATAAATTATACCATGGAAGTAATTATACAAACATTTTTATCGTTTAACATTAAAACCATCATAATGTCTCATGACACTGATATGATATGGCATTGATAGGATCTGCTATTCATTAACACGTCGATAATCAAACATTACTTTCAACTGTGTGCTAATTAAGTTACAGGGTGTTTTGCATAAATTATCTCTACCCAGAATGCATCACAAAAAGTTTGGCCATTGATTTTTGTTACTATTAATAGCAATCTCGCTCAAATCCCGTTTCAATCACAGTTGGAAGTACGGCGACAACTTGATCGCCTTACTATATAGCGGGTTGCACACTTCGTCTAGTAATGGACTTCTGATAATATACATATAAACTCAGGAAATAAAAAAAAAAATAGAATTACAGAAAAAACTCAATAAAAACCTATATGTTGTTGCTATTTTGAAAACAAATTAAGTAACCTTATAAATGTAAATGGGGAATGTGTCAAAGAGACAACAACCTGACCAAAAGAGTAGAAAACATCCCTAGGCTACCAATGGGTTTTCAACACAGCGAGAAAATCCCGCACCTGGAGGAGGGCTTCAGCTGGCCCCTAAACAAAAATGTGTACTAGTTCAGTGAAAATGGACGTCACACTTAACTCCAAAACAATAAATGAACTAAAATTCAAAAATCCATTAGACTTACAAAGGCCAGAGGTGTCTGACCTGCGACAGGCAGCAAAATGCAGCGGGGTTAAACAAATGTACAATTTCCATCATTAGTTAGTCAAGATATTTTTACCTGTTTAAAAATGTTAAAAAATAAGAAAACAAAGATACATACTTAAAAACATATATTCTACTATCCTGTTATACATTTTTATGTAATACATTGTACTTGTTATAATTAGATGCTTATTGTTAAGAATAGAAAGATACATAAAAACATATGTAAAGATATTATTTTTTTTTTTATTCAACAACATATTGCACTACTGCTGTTAACAATTTACTTCACTAGTCCAGCATCTAGGGAAAGGTCCCTTATGTATTTGAATTAAGATTCTACATATATATCAACCCAAGCTACTTTATCTTTTCCAGATTCCATTGACAGGCAGCTCATTAGATATTGCTGTGTTTTGTTTGTCTTTAATGGGGACAAATTTGGTAGACTATTTGACGGAAGCTAACAGAGTGTTGAAGAAAGGGTATATTTGATTTAATGTAGACATCAATATCCAAATACTGAATAATCTTAAATGGTGTAACATTCTGTATTGTAGATTAGCAGAACACAATGGGTCTATTTTTTTGCATATTTTAATACACAAATGCAATTTACTGATAAGAGCTCTCATTTAAATGTACAAATTTATAATAAATGTGATTTTATCTTAAAATTACTAATATATTTACAAAAGTAGAATATATTTTGCTTGATTTCCAATTGTTTTATTATACAACAGCAAAAAAATTTTTTTGCGTCATGGTATGATGTCGTCGTCGTCGTCCGAAGACACATTTGGTTTCCAGACAATAACTTTAGTTTAAGTAATTGGATCTCTATGAAATTTTACTGGAAGGTTCAATACCACAAAAGGAAGGTTGGGATACATCGGGGGTTATGGTACCAACAGTTTAGAAATTAAGGGCCAAAAAGGGGCCAAAAACAAGCATTTTTGTTGTTTCCAGATAATAACTTGTGTGTAAGTGTATGGATCTTTCTGAAATTGTACCACAAGGATCCATATCACTAAAGGAAGGCTGTGATTGAGTTGGGGGTAATTGCATCAAATGTTCAGGAATTAGGGGCCAAAAAGGGGTAAAAAAACAAGCATTTTTCTAGTTTCCAGACAATAACTTGTGTTTTAAGTAAATGGATCTCTATGGAATTGTAATGCAAGGTACCATACCACAAATAGAAGGCTGGGATTGAGTTTGGGGGTAATTGCTCCAAACTTTCAGGAATTAGGGGCCAAAAAAGGGTAAAAAAACAAGCATTTTTCTAGTTTCATGACAATAACTTGTGTTTAAGTGTATGGATCTCTCTGAAATTGTAATGCAAGGTACCATACCACAAATAGAAGGCTGGGATTGAGTTTGGGGGTAATTGCTCTAAACGCTTAGGAATTAGGGGCCAAAAGGGGTAAAAAAACAAGCATTTTTCTAGTTTCATGATTATAACTTGTGTTTAACTGTATGGATCTCTCTGAAATTGTACTGCAAGGTACCATACCACAAAGGGAAAGCTGAAATGAGTTTGTGGGTAATTACTAAAACGGATGTTAAAAAAAAAAAATTTTTGGGGGGGGGGGGGGGGAGGGTGATTTTTTTTTTCATAATTTTTTCCATTTTTGCATTGATTATTTCTGATTTATATATAAAAGCAAAAAATACTGATATGGCAGGAGATACACACCAAACATGACGTGTAAATTATTATATGAAGTATTGTGCAATAGCACAGTATTGTGCAATAGCAGGAAATCTTCAATTGCATAGTATTGCGCAATAGCAAGAAATCTTCAATTGCACAATATTGCACAATAGCTAGAAATCTTCAATTGCACAGTATTGCACAATAGCAAGAAATCTTCAATTGCACAGTATAGTGCAATAGCAAGAAATCATCAATTGCACAGTATTGCCCAATACACAGTATTGCGCAATAGCAAGAAATATCCAATTGCACAGTATTGCGCAATAGCACAATAGTGTCCAATAGCCAGAAATCTTCAATTGCATAGTTTTGCGCAATAGCAAGAAATATCCAATTGAACAGTATTGCGCAATAGCAAGAAATCTTCAATTGAAAATTATTACCAATATTTCAACCTATTTCAAATTTTTAAGATCTTTCACCACATTTATTTTGTGTCAAAAACCTATATTATGTCGAAAATTTGATCAAAATCCAAATTCAGACAGAATCAAGCTAGAATATTGTGTCCAAACTTGCACCAACTTTTCAGGGTTCGACCTCTGCGGTTGTATCAGGCTGCGCTCGGCGAAGCATTTTATTTTTACATATAAAGGGGAGATAACTTTTTTCTTTGGATTTTCATAAAGCATTTTATAAGTGCTATCTTCTAGTATTTTATTTTAAATGCTAACATTTTTGTTAACTATGAAGTTTTGGTCCCATCAAATTGAAACTTCGGACAATTGTACATAATGATTATTTTTTAAATAATATATGCCAAGTTAGGCTTTTGACCCAGATTTTCTGGTTTGCAGAACATGAAAATGTGATTTGTGAATAGGGTATGGTGTCCTATGGGCACATATTCTCGTTATGATTTATTTTAAAAATCAGAATGCAACCAGTACTAAAAAAAATATTTGTGAAAATGTGACAATACAAGAACAATACAAAATTACTTAGTCTTTAGCATCTGTTTAATCAGAATCTATTTAAACATGACAGTTGTGTTACAGCTTTTAATGTTTCAAAAAATGCACATCTTACCACACTGCATGATTTATAGACATAAAATAAAGAACAAATGAATGACACTATCTTAACTTCCTTAAAGAGAAAACATAATATTTTTGGAGAAAAAAAGTTAACATTGAAAGAGCAGTGATATGATTTTGTTTTAAACTGATATAAACAATCCTCACAATTTTGATTAAAAAAATTGTTATAATTCTTTTTTTTTAAATATACACATGAGACAAATATACATATGGCATTGTAAATACAAATTCATAAATCAAGTAACTGATTATGGCATTACATTTTCTGATATATGAGGTTATTGTGGTGTTTATTCTGATTATATATGAGGTTATGGTGGTGTTTATTCTGATTATATATGAGTTTATGGTGGTGTTTATTCTGATTATATATGAGGTTATGGTGGTGTTTATTCTGATTATATATGAGGTTATGGTGGTGTTTATTCTGATTATATATGAGTTTATGGTGGTGTTTATTCTGATTATATATGAGTTTATGGTGGTGTTTATTCTGATTATATATGAGGTTATGGTGGTGTTTATTCTGATTATATATGAGGTTATGGTGGTGTTTATTCTGATTATATATGAGGTTTTGGTGGTGTTTATTCTGATTATATATGAGGTTTTGGTGGTGTTTATTTGTATGTTATTTATTTACAGTGGAACATTGATGATAGCAGAGGTAACAAGTAGAATACAGAAAACCGGAAAATTTATCAGGAACATTGAAAAGATGGGTTTCCAGTTTAGCAGCAAGGTAATGTCAGTAAGGCATTTTAAATGGATATTTTATTTACCGTATCATAATAGAGCTGCACTTCAAGGATGCAATAACTCTAGTGTTTACTTTCTTTGTCTGTCTACACCCAAAGGTGATTGGGGAATAGATATATGGGCTTTTTGGTGTTTTCCCAACCTACAGTGAAACCCTTGCCAGAGAGGGGCAGCCGTCTGGCTATGCGGGATGCACAAGTACAATGTATGCAGCCTGGCCTGTCAGAATGGGGAGTTTAAATCTGATGCTTTGTGTAAAAAGAGTGTTAATTTGTTCTCACTCTGAACATGCATGAAGTATTTGCCACTGAATGTTAAGCAACCAACAATCAATCAATCTGTCCATCAGCCTGTCTGTTGTCTGTCCTCCTGTCCATATGTTTGTCTGTCTGTCTTGCAAACAAAATGCAAAAAATGAAAGAAATAAAGGTAGGACTGGGATGAATTTTCCACAGTTGTTATGCATTATATGTAGATCTATATATAAGAATCATTAAGGTCATTGTTCAACCTTTAACAACGAGAAAAACCAATACCCGATTGCAAGCTATAAAAGCTTTAAAACATGACAAAGAGTCAAACAATACAAACGAGAAAACATATGGCCTGATTTATGTACAAAATCATAAAAAAAAAAGAATATAAAATAGAACAACAAAAGATAACCTCTGAATTACAGGCCGCTGACTTGGGACTGGCATACATGTATATATAGAATGTCTTTTTTTTTAAAGTTGGAATAAAATATATATATAAATTTAGGTTTTCTGTAAAAAGATCTCACAAAACTTGAGAAAATCTGTAAGAACTGGTAGGACAAAAGAAATTTTTTGGCAAAGATTTCAATGAAAAATGATAAATAGTTTGATTATCATGATTATATATAGTGTTTAAAATTTGTTTTGAGTGTCAAAAATTATCTGCCTGTCACCATTTTGAAATAGCTGCCACAATACATAAACAAAATGATAATGCTTGGATTTTTGTTGAGCCTGTGACTTTTGTTGCAAAAGCGAGACATAGCGATCCTACATTCCGTCAGCGGGGGCTAACAAGACAAGACAGACTGACGGACGCACACTCAGTATTTCTATGTCCCCCGCAACTCATTGCGCACGGGACAAAAAAAATATTTCTAACAACTTTTGAGGGGGGTCAGTAAATAACCTGTTACAAGCCAAAATGTCTGCCCCTATCCATCATCCTTTTAGTCACACCCTTTAATTTGGTTGACCCAATTTGAATGAAAGTGATTCATTTGTTAAGTGAATAATTGTCAATGCCATTTTTGTCAAGCCTGCGACTTTTGTCACAGAAAGCTCGACATAGTAATAGTGATCCGGCGGCTGCAGAGTTAGCTAAATTCTTAAAAGCTTTATAGTTTAGAAGCTAGAAGACCTGGATGCTTCATACTGTGTATATAGATGCCTTATGTTACGAAGTTTCCTTCTGTCATATGTCCATTGTCCTTGACCTCATTTTCATGGTTTAGTGACTACTTGAAAAAAAAGTCAACATTTTTTGTAATGTTAATTTCTTTCTTATAATGAGTAATAGGATAACTATATTTAGTATGTGCGTACCTTGCAAGGTCCTCATGCCCGTCAGACAATTTTCATTTGACCTCGACCTCATTTCATGGATCAGTGAACAAGGTTAAGTTTTCGTGGTCAAGTCCATATACCAGATACTATAAGCAGTAGGTCTACTATATTTGGTATATGGAATGATTGTAAGGTGTACATGTCCAACTGGTAGGTGTCATCTGACCTTGACCTCATTTTCATGGTTCAGTGGCCAAAGTTAAGTTTTTGAGTTTTGGTCTTTTTTTCTAATACTATATGCAATAGGTCAACTATAAATGGTGTATGGAAATATTTTATGATGTACATGTCAGTCTCACAGGTTTTATTTGACCTTGACCTCATTTTCACGGTTCATTTCTCAGTGTTAAGTTTTTGTGTTTTGGTCTGTTTTTCTTCAACTATAAGCAATAGATCAACTATATTTGATGTATGGAAGGATTGTAAGGTGTATATGTCTGTCTGGCAGGTATCATCTGACCTTGACCTCATTTTCATGGTTCATTGGTCAATGGTCATGTTTGTTTCTTAGATACTATAAGCAATAGGTCAACTATATTTTATACCTAAATTGATTGTAAGGTGTACATGTCTGTCTGGCATGGTTCATCTGACCTTGACCTCATTTTCATGGTTCATTGGTCAATGTTAAGTTTTCTTGGTTAAGACTGTTTCTTAGAAACTATAAGCAATAGGTCAACTATGTTTGGTTTATTGAATGATTGTAAGGTGTACATGTATTTCTCGTTTGGTTTATCTGACCTTGACCTCATTTTCTTGGATCATGTTAAGTTTATGTGTTACTTGTAGTAAAGCTTTGTATTTAGGACTATCAACATAAAATCAATGGTTAGTAAAAAAGGCGAGACATTTCAGTGTGTGCACTCTTGTTAAAGTACTGTATGGTTTTTATGTTGATTATTTCTGTAATGAGTTGAATCTCATTTACCCTTTAAATATTTTGTCTACATGATTACCAAAATATGCCTTTTTTACAGATGGCTTGAGGAAAAAGCATTTTTATTGGAATTGTATAAACATGTAATTGAAAAGTTGACTTTCTATATGTTTCCTATGATATGATCTTTCTAAGTTTAATGCCAAATTAGAGTTTTTACCCCAATATTAGGGTCCACTAAACATAGAAAAAGATAGTGTGAATGAGCATCCATGTACTATGGACACATTCTTGCTCATATTACTTTCCCTCAGAACTGATTGATCTTCTACATACAACATACATACTGCCATCTTGTTATGTAATCAGCTTTACATGTGTTGATGGTCCATTGGTAATGTCAAGGTGTCATGTCATCAGTATTACTATGTCACTGAAGACATCATATAAACATAACCTATCAACAGAACCAAGCTACACATCACCACATCACATTCCCTTTCCAAAAATATATGTTACAAAATTAACAATATCAATATAATGATAATAATCATATAGTTTAACAAATACTACAAATATCAGAATGAAATTATTGATATATTTGATTACAGTTCATTGAAGACTTTTATAAGATTATTTTGTATGATCACCAGTTTTCTTTGTTTGAGATTATAATGAATCACACCAGACTCTCGACTGGATTGAAGTGTCTTCACTGGTTTATACTGTTTACCATCAGATGACACATGTTGTTCTGATCCATCCTTACACCTCACATACAGACTGCCATCTTGTAGTGTAGTCATACTCCTGGGTCGTGATGGTAATGTTAGGGTATGATGTCTGTCATCAGTATAACTATACCAGTACAGCTTGTTGTTGTTGATGTAGAATATTCTGTCACCAGAACCATGTAACCTGTAAGGTTGACATTTAGTCTGTATTGTTTGTACCATCTCTCCTGTCTGATGATCTACGATCAGTAGTCTGTTGTCACCACCTACAACTAACTTGTTGTTTATAGTTGTAATGCCACTCTCAAACCACCACATTCCAGGTGGTGATATTGATTTAAGTTTGAGTTTATTGTTTATATCATACATCTCTATACAGTCACTATCCCACAGTGTAACAGCTACTGTAGATTTGTTGACTGCTGTAACATACCATGGTAAACCCTGTACATGTATACTGTCTACCTGTGATCCATCTGTATTACAGATCAGTAGTCTGCTCTGGTGAGGTAAACATATCACTAGTCTACCATCATCCATCATCACTATATCTGTTACTTCTGTAAAACTACCACCAACTACCGATGTCAGGACTGTCTGATGATGTAGTGTGAAAATAGACTGTCCTAGTTTGTAGGGTTGTATGCTCTCTTTGAATTTTTTGACTGTAATATAGGTATGATGATATAAGTAATAGAAACAATTTCAAGGCGTTTTTACAAATTAATAACTTTGACACAAATGGTAGATCCTGAATCAGTTGTGTACCATTCGCATGGACCTTACATAAAATTTGATATTATTAAAAACAAAACATGAATTAATTTTTATTAAATGTAATTATGATTTTAAATTGAAAAGAATAAGATGCTTTGTACTTTCAGTTAAACTTTTTGATTGTGTATTTTGTTAATATTTTCTTGGTTATTTTTTTAGGTGAATCACTTTTTTTATAATAAACAGAAAGAACAATTTTTTCTTTTACCCTTTTAATAATAAAACTAGCATAACTGTTTTTTGAATGGAAATAAATTACATGAGGGTCAATTTTGTAGCTTGATCATAACAATTGCTTGTACTGTATAAACATTAATATAAATATTTTTTAATTTCTTTTTTTGATGAACTTCTTATTTTAGTGTGTATTATTTTGGTATGTTCATTTTAGGCGCCCTTGCATCAAATTATGATTACAACCAAAATATCCCAATTTAACAGTATATATTCCTTGATTTAACTGGTTATTATTACATGTATTAACAGCTTTCTCTTACAATAGGCGATAAACAGATGCAATTTTGATTTCATGATCCAATTGGCAACCAAACTATGTGAATAAATACACATTAATACACACAAACCTATGCCACTCACTTGAAACAAAAATTAAAATATTTTCATAGTAAGATACTTTATTATTGTTGTTGGGTTGCTATGTTATTTAAGTTTATCCATATCTGAGGGTATAGATGGGGTTTACAGAATAGAAAATAATGGCCCCAAAAATAATGAATAGAGATAAATGAGCAAATAAAAAATAGAGAATAATGTGGTTTAAACGTATAAAAATAACTGAGGAAAAAAAAAGAATAAGTTGGTATAATACTGATTACAGAAATGAACAATGTACAGAAAAAATTATTAGTAAAATCATTTTCACAAGAATTTTAATGAATAAATGTTATTTTTAAAGATAAAGAAAACAAATTAAGGACCCCTCCATCCAGCTTATTCTCGCATCTATATTTCATATTCATGGGAGATAATTGTCCATAGAACACAGAAACTATTAGAAATCAATACCTTGTTGTTGGCACTTGTCTGTAGAACATTGACATGTTATTCCTCTCTTTGCAATATATAAGAATTCCTGTAAAAAGTAACAATGGAAAAGAGAGTGAATAAATACTAATAAGGAAGAGTTCACTGCACTTAACATAGAAATAATTGCAAGAAATAGAAATTCATTAGAGGAGGCTATGGTGATTATAGAATTAAACACAGTTTTTTCTAGAGGTTATTAGTCCCCTACTGATGAAGTCGAAGACTTGAAGTCTGTCTGTCTGTCTGTCCGTCCGTCCGTCTGTTTGTTCGGCAAATCAGTTTTCCACACTTTTTTCTTTTGCAAACTTTTGTTCCAGTCTGATGATTTTGTGCATGCAATACTCTCAGAATGCTTGTTGATGTTTGAAATGGGACATTTAGTATGTGAGTCACTGATCAGTTTCCATTAATATTCCTTTAAAAAATTTGTTTAATCCTAAACATAATATGCTCAGCACAATCTTTTGCAAATTTCAAATTTTTTTTCATTGCCTTCTTATTTACTGTCAAATCCACAGTTGACACATCGTTACTTAGAAGTCAGCCACTATATTGACTTCCTTAAATTGATAAATGTTTGATTGATGTAATAAGATTGAAAGCGTCTACCTCAAAATAGTCCTTTTTAAAAAGATATTGTACTTATTTCAAACATACAAGTAATGGAATAATCTTCAACTTGGGCATTTTCCTTTGTATGATGTCATGACGATAATTTGAAAATATCAACCATGCAATATAACAGAATTATTTTTACTTTTTTCGAGTCCTAATGCATTATTATACCCCACGCAACTGGTTGCGGAGAGTATAATGTTTTTGACCCGTCCGTCCGTCAGTCCGTCTGTCCTGTTTCTTGTCATCGCAACTCCTCTCAAACCACCCAACAGAATTTCACGAAACCTTTTTAGATAATAAGGACATACTATGTAGTTGTGCATATCGACAGGAAATTGCGATTCAATTTTTTTTCTAGGAGTTACGCCCCTTTGAACTTATTTACTTTATTGTACTACTGCAACAGTTTGTCATCGCAACTCCTCTCAAACCACACAACAGAATTTCATGAAACCTTTTCAGATAATAAGGACATACTACGTAGATGTGCATATCGACAGGAAATTACGATTCAATTTTTTTTCCAGGAGTTACGCCCCTTTGAACTTATTTGCCCAATATACTACTGCAACCTTTTGTCATCGCAACTCCTCTCAAACCACACAACAGAATTTCATGAAACCTATTCAGATAATAAGGACATACTACGTAGATGTGCATATCGACAGGAAATTACGATTCAATTTTTATACGACCGTCGTATATTGGTATGATGTTGGCATCGTCGTCTGGCCTTGTCGTCGTCGTCCTCCAAAGACACATTGGTTTTCGCACTATAACTTTAGTTTAAGCGAATGGATCTCTATGAAATTTTACCATAAGGTTAAATACCACAAAAGGAAGGTTTGGATTGATTTTGGGGGTTATGGTACCAACAGTTAAGGAATTAGGGGCCGAAAAGGGGCCAAAAATAAGCATTTCTAGTTTCCAGACAATAACTTGTGGAACGGTGTATGGATCTCTCTGAAATTATACCACAAGTTTACATACCACAAAGGGATGGTTAGGATTTGCTTTAGGGGGTTATGGCTCAAACCGTTTAGGAATTAGGGGAAAAAAAGGGGGAAAAACAAGGTTATCCTGGTTAATGGACAAATTCTTTAGTACAAAACATAATTTAAAGCAGTGTAAGGGAGATAAATCAAATATACCATTTGAATTACCTCCCTTACACTGCTTTTAAATTATGTATATAGGTTACAAGAGCGCAATTATTTGTTTACATTTTACCGGCAAGTTTTTTACCCCAAGATGGTACTCAGAATAGAATCCTGTACGGCTTCTGATTGGATGATACAGAATTGGAACTACTTTTAATCGAAAGCTTATCCAATTAGGTTTAAAAAATCCAGAAAATCAAATTCACATTTTGCAAAGTATAGAAAATATCTTCCATTTCTGCACGTCGGGGCCATTAAAAATATGCCTTTTTCATTAAGCGAAAAAAATAGACGATCTTTTTCAACTGCATTTTAAGTCATTTTTTGCCGCATGACCATATATATTTTTTTGGTTGTAATGCAACACTGGCATTTCTAGTAACAGGAACTGCTACCCATTTTTCCCTAGTTTGTGTAGTCTTCGAGAAAAAAAATACGGAACATCACTGGACCTATGGAAAATGCATTACGAATAATTGCGCTCTTGTAACCTATAGGAAAATGACATATTTTTTTTAATAAGGCTTTGAAAAATGTTAAAAATAGTCATTTTGCTTGGAAAAAATGTGAAACGGTAATTAATGGGGTCAAATGGACTTTTTATCAACGTGCATTCAAGCTATAGTCTGTTTCCTATTTGTATAGATTTCCATATTTGAAACTAGGGTGGGCTCGAATGTCGACACAGTATAAAGAGAATAGAACGTTTTTGTGATATCTACTGTTTTTATTGGGAAAAACATGTAAATATCTTGAATTTGGAGATACATTTTGGTTTTTAAACATAATGATCGTGACTCAGTTGCTATTCTAGCAAAAAGCAAATTTGGTGAAAATTGGCAAAAAGTGCCCCTAAGCATACACCAACGATTTAGTTAAATTGCAAAGTAGAAAAATTATTCTTGGCATTGAATATTGTAGTTCAAGAACAGTTTTTCTTGCCAAAGAAGTAATATTATCATATATTCGAAATTTGGAAAAACTATAGTCTGTTTCAAAAACATATTTTTTCAAGAAATGATTTCATTTAAAGCCATTCTTCAAAATTCTATGTAGCTTTTCCGTATCAGAACGGTTTTGTCGGCAATATGATCAGTGCTGGATGACATTTGAAAAATTAGGGCAGTAAATAAACATTATCTTCATGTCTTTTTGAACTACCGTATTTGGTCAAAAAATCTGTTCAAATTTTTGGCCTGATCGACAGGCAATAAATAATTCTCCAAATTCAGAGAGTGATCAGATAATGTTTTGAAGATGTGATATGAGCTAGATAGACGCTAGCACTTCATTTGGCGCGGGCGCTTAATTTTTGAAAATTTTTTGCATTACTGTATAGGTTACAAGAGCGCAATTATTTGTTTACATTTTACTGGCAAGTTTTTTACCCCAAGATGGTACTCAGAATAGAATCCTGTACGGCTTCTGATTGGATGATACAGAATTGGAATTACTTTTAATCGAAAGCTTATCCAATTAGGTTTAAAAAATCCAGAAAATCGAATTCACATTTTGCAAAGTATAAAAAGATATCTTCCATTTCTGCACGTTGGGGCCATTAAAAATATGCCTTTTTCATTAAGCGAAAAAAAATAGACGATCTTTTTCAACTGCATTTTAAGTCAATTTTGCCGCTTGACCATATATATTTTTTTTGGTTGTAATGCAACACTGGCATTTCTAGTAACAGGAACTGCTACCCGTTTTTCCCTAGTTTGTGTAGTCTTCGAGAAAAAAAATACGGAACACCACTGGTACCCTATGGAAAATGCATTACGAATAATTGCGCTCTTGTAACCACAAAGTAATGGTTAATGAATAATTAAGACAATTTAAAACTGTAAGGGAGGTAATCCAAATACAACGTTTTGATTACTTCCCTTACACTGCTTTTAAATTATGTTTAAAGAAATGCATATCTATAAAGGAATACCAGTAAAAATATCTGCAAATGTTGCATTTTTTTTTTTTTACAAAAAAATCCATATGAAAGTTTTGACACCATATTTTAAATTCTATTATAAAATATATTAAGTTAGTACTATGGTAAATTTAAATGGGTAATTATGGTTGCAAATTCCATTGGAAATTTGAATTGAGATTATGACCATATCTTGAGGGAAAGAATTTTTTTGGGGAAAAAGGGGGGGGGGGGGGGGGGGGGGTAAAAAGAAATTATGTGGGGTCAATTTTTTCTCACTTCAGATTTCAGAGATTAAAAAGAATTTTTCTTCAAATATTATTTTTTTTTCAAATTTCAAGAAGTAATCTTTAATTGCACAGTATGGCGCATTAGATTTGTAAAATCTTTGACCACATTTATTTAGTTGTTACGCCAAATCTGACCGTGTATTTAGATTTTTAATTTTGGGTCCAGTTTTCAAATTGGTCTAAAGGGTCCAAAATTAAACTTAGTTTGATTTTAACAAGAATTGAATATATGGGGGTTCTTTGATATGCTGAATCTAAACGTGTATTTAGATTTTTGATTTTGGGGAACAGTTTTCAAGTTGGACCAAATTGGGGTCCAAAATTAAACTTTGTTTGATTTCAACAAAAATTGAATATATGGGGTTCTTTGATATGCTGAATCTAACCATGTATTTAGATTTTTTATTTGTGGACCCCGCTATCAAATTGGTTCATATTGAGGTCAAAAGGGTCCAAAATTAAACTTCGTTTGATTTCATCAAAAATTGAATTATTGGGGTTCTTTGATATGCCAAATCTAACCGTGTATTTAGATTTTTAATTTTGGGTCCTGTTTTTTAAATTGGTCTACATTAAGGTCCAAAGGGTCCAAAATTAAACTTAGTTTGATTTTAACAAAAATTGAATTCTTGGGGTTCTTTGATATGCTGAATCTAAACATGTGTTTAGATTTTTTATTATGGGCCCAGTTTTCAAGTTGGTCCAAATTGGGGTCCAAAATTAAACTTTTTTTTGATTTCAACAAAAATTGAATATATGGGGTTCTTTGATATGCTGAATCTAAACATGTATTGAGATTTTAGATTTTTGGCCCAGTTTTTAAGTTGGTCCAAATTGGGGTCCAAAATTAAACTTTGTTTGATTTCAACAAAAATTGTATTATTGGGGTTCTTTGATATGCCAAATCTAACCGTGTATTTAGATTTTTAATTTTGGGTCCTGTTTTTTAAATTGGTCTACATTAAGGTCCAAAGGGTCCAAAATTAAACTAAGTTTGATTTTAACAAAAATTGAATTCTTGAGGTTCTTTGATATGCTGAATCTAAACATGTGTTTAGATTTTTGATTATGGGCCCAGTTTTCAAGTTGGTCCAAGTTGGGGTCCAAAATTAAACTTTTTTTTATTTCAACAAAAATTGAATATATGGGGTTCTTTGATATGCTGAATCTAAACATGTATTTAGATTTTTGATTTTTGGCCCAGTTTTCAAGTTGGTCCAAATTGGGGTCCTAAATTAAACTTTGTTTAATTTCAACAAAAGTTGAATATATGGGGTTCTTTGATATGTTGAATCTAACCATGTATTTAGATTTTTTATTTGTGGACCCCGCTATCAAATTGGTTCATATTGAGGTCAAAAGGTTCCAAAATTAAACTTCGTTTGATTTCATCAAAAATTGAATTATTGGGGTTCTTTGATATGCCAAATCTATCCGTGTATTTAGATTTTTAATTTTGGGTCCTGTTTTTTAAATTGGTCTACATTAAGGTCCAAAGGGTCCAAAATTAAACTTAGTTTGATTTTAACAAAAATTGAATTCTTGGGGTTCTTTGATATGCTGAATCTAAACATGTGTTTAGGTGTAATACCACCATTGATTTTCCCCTATTAGTCTTTGTTAAATTTGCACTTTTCAAAAAATTGTGCAGAATTTATCTTTGTTTCAAATAAAGAAATACTTGGCATGAGTAAAGTTTGATCCTGTCCAGTACTATAGAAAAAATTTCACGTAACATTTCATTGCATATAAGAAAATAACCATCACTGGAAGTTAACCAATCAAATTTTCCCCCTTTTTTAACCTGTGTACAAGCTTTAGTAACCATGTAACCTCAAGTTTCCAAAATATTCTATAGAAACCCCAAATAAAAAAAAAATGGTGCTTTGAAATACCCAAGATATATGTTTATGACCCAGAAATGTTTTACTGCAATGAAATGTAGGATCAATTATCTACAACTGTCAAATTCAAGGGAATATTTTTTTTCGACCTATTTTCGTATGCAACCGGATGTGACGTACTATGATTTGGTGGTATTACACCTAAAGAAGACTTTTTTGTTAAATAAACTGAATGTGACTTTTTTCCTTTGTAATACTGGTTATTTCAAGCATTCCTGTCAAGTTTTGTCATAATCAGTTCAATAGTTTGAGAAAAATCTAGTATAATGTAAGACGACATCTACAGCGATTCGAGCTAAATTTCTTCGAAAAATCCAAACCAAGCCGCATCATGATAGAATATAGTGTGGACCAATAAATGATCAAATATTTATCTCATCTGCCTACAAACAGTTGAATATGATACAAAAGATGACTTTAGGATGATAAATACTACTAATGGACCTCTTTGTCTTCTTTATAAGGTCTCTTTTGGTCCATTTATACCTCTCATTTCCTCAAAATTTCTACTTTATAGGCCAAAAAATAAAAATTTTGGGGTAACTTTCACTCATTTATGATAGAAATGTTATAATAAATGATTAATTGAAGTATTCAAGCTGAATGAACTATCCGTATAAAAGTTTACTGTTTCCAAGGAGGTTTCCATAAGTCCTTACGTAAAACTTAAATTTACGCCGCGTTCCAGAGAGGGACATAAAAAGCTTCTCTTTTGGTGAATAATTTGTTGTTACTGCTTTAAAAATAATTTCATTTACTTAAAACTATATATTTATTAAAGTATTTCTTAGGAAAAATTTTCTAGTATAGCAGAATATAAGAAAAAAGGAGAAAAAGCTCCCCAAAACTCTAAGTATGGCTTATTCTGTCAACTAATATTCATGGTAAAGTCCTATTTCAAGGAAATTTTCTCATAAAATGTGTTTTGGAGACTCAATCCACTCAGAATATTTCATTATTAGTAATATTTCACTTAAATAGCAAGAAATTTTAACACATGAGAGTACTCACAAGGTCAAAAGGTGCATGTACAGCTTCCCATATTAGGTGTAATACCACCATTGATTTTCCCCTATTAGTCTTTGTTAAATTTGCACTTTTCAAAAAATTGTGCAGAATTTATCTTTGTTTCAAATAAAGAAATACTTGGCATGAGTAAAGTTTGATCCTGTCCAGTACTATAGAAAAAATTTCACGTAACATTTCATTGCATATAAGAAAATAACCATCACTGGAAGTTAACCAATCAAATTTTCCCCCTTTTTTAACCTGTGTACAAGCTTTAGTAACCATGTAACCTCAAGTTTCCAAAATATTCTATAGAAACCCCAAATAAAAAAAAAATGGTGCTTTGAAATACCCAAGATATATGTTTATGACCCAGAAATGTTTTACTGCAATGAAATGTAGGATCAATTATCTACAACTGTCAAATTCAAGGGAATATTTTTTTTCGACCTATTTTCGTATGCAACCGGATGTGACGTACTATGATTTGGTGGTATTACACCTTTAGATTTTTGATTATGGGCCCAGTTTTCAAGTTGGTCCAAGTTGGGGTCCACTCACTAAGGTTCTTTAATTTCCTTTTGTTGTGCATTACAATAGGAATAACAGTCCTGTTTCGTTTATCAAGTTTGATGTATAGTTTTCCAATACAATTATGTAAATTATATTTTAAAGTAGTCTTCATTTACAGTAATCAATTTTTTTCTACAAACAAACGCATCTTGAATACTGAATGAACCAGAGTCATCAAGATCAGATAGCTTTAAAAGTGAGCATATGTGTTTTGGGTTTTATTAATTTAAAAGTTTTTAAACTTGATTATTATTAACAGGATGTAAATTTTAAAAAATAAACACAAGGTTATAGACCACAAAATACAGGTCAATTTCGATTTTCAATCTATCATTGGACATTTTTTGTGCAAAAGTTATACTGTTGACTGATTTTAATAGTTCTTATGTTTTGCTGTTACACCACTGTCCATTGTTATGGGTGGGTGGGTGTGCTGACCTCAATTGTGTTTATCCCCCCCCCCCCCCCCCAAAAAAAAATCTGTATGTGACTGTGCTAAGTCGTGATCTTGTAGGTCAATGATTGTAGTTTGTTGCTGTATATCATATTTGTGGGTATTGGTCATTACTAAAGGTCATACAGTGACCCAAAGTTGCCAACTTCTACCTCATTATATCTCTTTTCAAAAGTTCTCTCATTTGCATTCATACTACCTCTTCTCATCTTTATATTGGCAGGAATAAGATAAGAAAAGTATCTGTAATAATCTTTTTTTTTCTTTTCAATTGTACAAAACTATGATAGTGAAAAGCAATTGATAAAGTTTTAAAAATGTGAGTTGTTGTAAGAGAAGCACTGAACTTCATTGTTACCATTTTTTTTTTTTACACCAATGAGTATTTTATGAAGGATAATTAATATGCAGAGTATAGAATATAAAAACAAAAGTTTGTCATGAAGTAGGTAATCAGATGACAAAGATGATGAAATGATTTTTCTTTAATAATTTACCTCCATGGTAGCCTGTAGTCCCATTACTGCTGTATTGGTTCCAGTGACTGTCTGGTCTATTCTCTGAACTCTTCTATCTATTTCATTGGTGGTGGTGTCAATTCTTTGAATGGTTTCATCAACTCCTTGGATTGATGCACCAATCTGAAATTAGTTAAATGTGACATTTTTGGAAAGTTTGCTATAGCTTGCTATAGCAATATACTTTCCTGTGGCATCGGCCTCAAACCGGAAGTTGGACAGACTATCGCAAGTGTTCTATTCCTAGATAATGTAGTACTAGTGTTTGAATACTAATTCTAGGAAGATGCTTTTGAAATTTTGAGTTACTTCTATTTTGATTAGCTTACAGCTTGAATTAAAATGTACTGAATGTTCATCGATAATAATGAATTCAACTTCATTTTGAAAATGGCTATCACAAACACTACTTCGCGGAAATTAAAATCAATACACATCTACACGAGACAGCAGTTTCTACGTTATGCTTTTATCGGTATTCCCCAGACATGCGTGAGATCCATATATAAGTACCTCCCAATGGGAGTACAATAATCCCAGTTTCAGGGGTTTCCTCTCGTTCTCCGGTTGAAGAGAAAATAAATACCGTGTTTAAAATATTTCATGAATGAACATTTTCCGACGCTATTTTTACTACGATTATTACAAATGTTTATTAAAGACGTAAAAGCCCGAGTGTATTGAACGTAACCTGGTATCTCATCGCGGCCCATAACAAACTCGGCCTATTACAAAATCGGACTATAACAAAGTTCGTATATACTATTTGTTATTAAGTCTCACAAACAAAGTTAAACTTATTGTTTTTGCTCAGTTCTTATTATTTTTCTTCTTGGGGTCTTTATGGGTATTTTGAGGGGCCTACAGAAGGGAGGGATTTACTAAAGAACCCTATGGGATTTCATTTTTTCTAATTTTCAAATGACTATAACTTGAGAACAGTAAGTGATAAACACACGCGGTCTTCAGTAATAATCACAGAACAATAAAACAAATCAAATGAAATATAGGTTGAGTCGCTGGGGTCACCCCTTCAATTTGAGAAAGGGCTTTTATCTTGTAAACAGTCAAGATCCCCACACCTAACCATATATATTCATGTATGGGATAATAAAACAAATCAAATGAAATATAGTGGGAGTCCCTCTGGGTCACTCCCACCCCCTCCTGTTTGAGAACTTGTAAACAGTCGAGATCCCCACCTTGAAACCATATATATTCTTGTATGGGACAATAAAACAAATCGAATGAAATATAGGGGGAGTCCCTGGGGGTCACCCCCACCCCCTCCTGTTTGAGAACTTGTAAACAGTCGAGATCCCCACCTTGAAACCATATATATTCTTGTATGGGACAATAAAACAAATCGAATGAAATATAGGGGGAGTCCCTGGGGGTCACCCCCACCCCCTCCTGTTTGAGAACTTGTAAACGGTCGAGATCCCCACTCCTAAACCATATATATTCTTGTATGGGATAATAAAACAAATCAAATGAAATTTAGGGGAGTCCCAGGGGGTCACCCCCACCCCATCCTGTTTGAGAACTTGTAAACGGTTGAAATCCACACCCCTAAACCATATACTCATTATATTCTTGTATGGAACAATAAAACAAATCAATTGAAATATAGGGGAAGTTAACGGGGATCACCCCCACCCCCCTTCTTTTTGAAAACTTGTAAACAGTCGAGATCCTCACCTCAAAACCATATATATTCTTGTACGGGACAATAAAACAAATCAAATGAAATATAGGGGGAGTCTGTGGGGGTCATCCCCACCCCATCCTGTTTGAGAACTTGTAAACGGTTGAGAACCCCACCCCAAAACCATATACATTCTTGAACGGGACAATAAAACAAATCAAATGAAATAAGAGTCTCCTGAGAATCAAACCCCCCCCCCCCCCTCCTTTTTGGAGAACTTGTAAATGGTCAAGATCCCCACCCCTAAACCATATATATTCCTGTTCATGATTTCAAGAAGATTTGAATAACATACAGGGTTAATCCAAAGGCGTCACTTATGCATATCACTTTACTAGACCAAACCAATTTGTACTGGACTTTGCCCAATGTCAGGCGACCATGGGAATGACTAATGATGGGAGCATTGTTTGGGAGACTTCGTAACAGCATCCTGTTACAATTATTTCTTGTATTAAGTAAAACATTTTAGAAGTCGGAAAAAACCGTTAACCACACAATCTACTAATCGTAGTCCGTAGTCTGAGTTTGTTCAATATATAACAATTCAAACAAGAAAACTAACTGCTTAATTAGTAATAATACAATTTACTACAAACAAATATGAAGGATCTTAATTAATAAAAATACTTAATCACAGGCTCTTTACATTGGATGGGCACAGAAAGAAATTAACAGAGCTTTCTGTATATTTGATTATTTTAAATCTACAGTTTAAGGTTGCAATAGAAATTATCAAAATTTTACATGACAAACATATGAAAAAAGTGATATTTGATAATTGCTGATGAGACAATGGTTTAGGGAAAAACACCAAAGCTGTGATTAAATACATATTTGAAATAATACACATCTACAACCTATTTGAAATAATACACATCTACAACCTATTTGAAGTAATATACATCTACAACCTATTTGAAATAATATACATCTACAACCTATTTGAAGTAATATACATCTACAACCTATTTGAAATAATACAAATCTACAACCTGTTTGAAATAATATACATCTACAACCTATTTGAAATAATACACATCTACAACCTATTTGAAATAATACACATCTACAACCTATTTGAAATAATACACATCTACAACCTATTTGAAATAATACACATCTACAACCTATTTGAAATAATATACATCTACAACCTATTTGAAGTAATATACATCTACAACCTATTTGAAATAATACAAATCTACAACCTATTTGAAATAATACACATCTACAACCTATTTGAAATAATACACATCTACAACCTATTTGAAGTAATATACATCTACAACCTATTTGAAATAATATACATCTACAACCTATTTGAAGTAATATACATCTACAACCTATTTGAAATAATACAAATCTACAACCTATTTGAAATAATACACATCTACAGCCTATTTGAAATAATACACATCTACAACCTATTTGAAATAATACACATCTACAACCTATTTGAAATAATACAAATCTACAACCTATTTGAAGTAATATACATCTACAACCTATTTGAAGTAATATACATCTACAACCTATTTGAAATAATACACATCTACAACCTTTTTGAAATAATACACATCTACAACCTATTTGAAATAATACACATCTACAACCTATTTGAAGTAATATACATCTACAACCTATTTGAAATAATATACATCTACAACCTATTTGAAGTAATATACATCTACAACCTATTTGGAATAATACAAATCTACAACCTATTTGAAATAATATACATCTACAGCCTATTTGAAATAATACACATCTACAACCTATTTGAAATAATACACATCTACAACCTATTTGAAATAATACACATCTACAACCTATTTGAAATAATACAAATCTACAGACTACAACCTATTTGAAATAATACACATCTACAACCTTTTTGAAATAATACACATCTACAACCTTTTTGAAATAATACACATCTACAACCTATTTGAAATAATACAAATCTACAACCTATTTGAAGTAATATACATCTACAACCTATTTGAAGTAATATACATCTACAACCTATTTGAAATAATATACATCTACAACCTATTTGAAATAATACACATCTACAACCTTTTTGAAATAATACACATCTACAACCTATTTGAAATAATACAAATCTACAACCTATTTGAAGTAATATACATCTACAACCTATTTGAAGTAATATACATCTACAACCTATTTGAAATAATACACATCTACAACCTTTTTGAAATAATACACATCTACAACCTATTTGAAATAATACACATCTACAACCTATTTGAAGTAATATACATCTACAACCTATTTGAAATAATATACATCTACAACCTATTTGAAGTAATATACATCTACAACCTATTTGAAATAATACAAATCTACAACCTATTTGAAATAATATACATCTACAGCCTATTTGAAATAATACACATCTACAACCTATTTGAAATAATACACATCTACAACCTATTTGAAATAATACACATCTACAACCTATTTGAAATAATACAAATCTACAGACTACAACCTATTTGAAATAATACACATCTACAACCTTTTTGAAATAATACACATCTACAACCTTTTTGAAATAATACACATCTACAACCTATTTGAAATAATACATATCTACAACCTATTTGAAGTAATATACATCTACAACCTATTTGAAGTAATATACATCTACAACCTATTTGAAGTAATATACATCTACAACCTATTTGAAATAATACACATCTACAACCTTTTTGAAATTATACACATCTACAACCTATTTGAAATAATACAAATCTACCGTTGCAAACTTTCCACAGGTGCTATCCAGCACTTTGATTAGTCTATCAGATGAAATATAGGAATGGTTAATTAGTTCAATTGGCAAAAGGAAAGCATGATTGTTTGCTATCACTTGGTGTCCATCATACATACATGTTGTTAAAGGATCTTTCATGTTAATTAACTGAACCAATATCCATATAACTTACATTAAATATTTTGAATTTTATTCCTCAACAAACATGGCTGCCCTGGCTAAATAATCAAACATAAGGGTAACATGCGGGTAATTGTCTTATATCTTGAAAACCAAATAAATAACTGCCTGCGCTTTATTTGTACCAACATTATTGAATGAGTCTAATAAGAGTTATTGCTCTCAGTGACTTGGTCAATTTAAACAGTATATATGAAAATAAGGAGATGTGGTATGATTGCAATGAGACAACTATCCACCAAAGTTCACATGAAGTGGATGTAATCAATTATAGGCAACCATAAGGCATTCAACAATGAGAAAACCCATATAAAATGCCCCTACAAAAAAATGTGATACAATTCAATTGAGAAAACTAACGGCTTAATTTATAACAATACAATTTATGAAAAGCAAATATGACGGACATAAACCAAGGACAACCACTGAGCTACAAGCTCCTGGCTTGGGACAGGCAAGTAAAGAATGTGGCCTGGTTAAACATGTTTGCTGACGCCAAACCCTCATCCTAACATGGGACAATGGATTAATACTACAACATAAGAACAAATAAATGTGGATAGTGTCCACATGTGGACACAGATGATGCCCCCGCTTGCATATCATATAGTTATAAAGGGACATAACTGAAGAACGGTAAAGGTGACGCTACCCAAATTTGAACTTGATCTGAGTTTTGTGGTAATAAGCATTGTGTGTAAGTCTCATAACATTTGGTTGAGGCTAACTTCAGTAGAGAACAGAAACTAAAAATTCAGCAATTTTTCTATTTGTAAACACGCATAACTCTAGAACTGTTGTGTATAAGTTTTACAACATTTGGTTGAGACAAACTAAAAAATTCAGCAATTTTTATGTTTATAAAGGGACATAACTCTAGAATGGTAAAAGTGTTGCCATTTAATTTGGTACTTAATCTGTATTATGTAGTAATAAGCATTGTGTATAAGTTTCATAACATTTGGTTGAGGCAAACTCAAGTTAGAGAACTGAAACAAAAAAATTGTACTTGATCCTTACTGAGTTTTGTGGTAATGAATATTGTGTATAGGTTTCATAATGTTTGGCTGGGGAAAACTTCAGTTACAGAATGGAAACTAAAAAATTTTGCAATCTTTCTATTTATAAAGGGGCATAACTCAATAATGGTTAAAGTGACACTACCCAAATTCAACTTGATCTGTGTTTTATCAGTGGAAGTCAAAATTAAACATTGCATTGTATAAAGCATTGATTGTAGTTGATTCAACTATAATCATGGTCAAAGGAAGATAACTCCAATTTTAAAATATATTATATAAACTTGATATTTAGAAGAAAATAAAAATTTTGCAATTTTTTCCTTTTATAAAGGGGCATAACTCTAGATCGGCTAAAGTGACACCACCAAAATTCAAACTTGATCTGTGTTTTGTGGTAATAAGCATTGTGTATAAGATTCATAACATTTGGATGAGGCAAACTTAAGTTAGAGAACGGAAACTAAAAATTTTGCAATATTTCCTTTTATAAAGGGGCATAACTCTAGATCGGTTAAAGTGACGCCACCAAAATTCAAACTTGATCTGTGTTTTGTGGTTATAAGCATTGTGTATAAGTTTCATAACTCAAACTCAAGTTAGAGAACGGAAACTAATTTCGGGTCGTACGGACGGACGTACGTACGTACGTACGTACAGACGGACAAGGGTAAAAGGGTAAAACTTTACGGCGGGGGCATAACTATGAAAAAATCAGTTGTAAAGGGCCATCTGATCAATACAAAGCAGAAAAACAACTGACAAAATGGACGTGGCAGGGAATTTATACATCCCCCACAACAACAAAAAAACACAAAGTACAGATCAAAGAGTACTTGCAGTTACTGACAGCTAGTTCAAAGCCAATGACAATTAATAAAAAATCATGTGTCTAAGACCAAAATATCAATCAGTACACATTCAACTTCCAATGGTTTTAGTGTAAAGATGTCATTAATAGTTAGAGAAAAACATGACCTTGTGCAAGGCTAAATATAGGTATCTACAGATTGTAGTACCATGAATGTGCATATGTGTGTAATAATATTATATAAATAACACATAGCTGAGAGGGTGATAGAGCAGATTGTTACCCCGAGAAAACATTGTCAACTGAGGCGAAGCCAAGGTTGACAATGTCTTTTCGAGGGGTAACCATCTGCTCTATCAAAAATCCAATATCACATCCTCCATAATACACAGAACATTGTCATGGGGAATGTTGTGTGGTTCCTGGTTTTCATTTGATTCATAGAGTTTTGTCAAATCCTGAATTAAAAAGGAGGGCTAAGTAGTCAGTAGCACATCATAATTCCATAACAAAACTCAGGATACCTGTCATGTGTGTGTAAATATAACTTTCTTAACAATAATTGCAAAAGTTTCTGGCATGATTTAGTTAGTCATTTATCCATAGAATGTTCTGAAAATTTATATAAATTCTCTTAAAATGATTGATTAATTGATGATTCAGTTGTGATATTTATATCTAAAGACTCTGTCAGTGTTTACTATAAATACAAAACATAGAGTTATATGAATAAATTAGAAAATAATAAATGTATGATATCTATGTAACAACAACGAACAAATATTTTATTGGCACAAACTCAATTACAATAATTGGCAACGGCCCATACAACTAGTATACAAGTGGTTATGATGCAGCAATTAAACAATACTACATAACATATTAATAGGCACATTTGGAACAATGAAATTTGCAGTTATATATATATTAATATACATAGGTTAATGTAGAATAGGCTACTGACATACATACATTGTATGTTATAGCTTCATAATGTTCATATTACTCATTTGTCAGGACATTTTTCCATAATTCAAATGATTGATTAATAAAAGATGATATTAATCTAAGTGTTTTTCTACACTTGCTATTTTAAAAGTAGTAGTTTGATATATTCATCCTCAGTTTTGGATTGTTTGTCATAATTTTTAAAATTGGACAATTTTGATATAAGTACATTTCTTTGTGATTCATATTTTGTGCAGTGCAAGATAAAATGTTTTTCGTCTTCTATATTATTTTTATGACATAATTTGCACAACCTTTCTTCTCTGTTAACTGGCAGGTACCTGCCTCTTTCAATTTCAAGATTGTGTGCACTTAGCCTAAGTTTTGCCAAAGGTGCCCTATCTTTCAACATATTCAAATGATCAACATAGTGTGCACGTTTATTTGAAAAACAATAGTGTCGAAAAAATTATAATTTTGATGATTCCGTAATATATGAATTCTGTTCCTGTAAAATTTGGTCATGAATTCGTTGTTTTATCTGTATATATATATGTATCATTCTAATTTCTATGACAAGACACATTTTTAAAATAAGAGGATTTAATAATAGAAGATGATGACCGTAAAAGATACCTTAGACTTTCATTGAGCAAATGTTTTTAAAACCTACCTCATCAAGTTTTTGGTGAATATCTAGTAGTATAGCATTATATTTATGACAGAGTGCTTCATCCAGTGGTCTGCTCTTTATCCTTTTTAAGTTGTCCTCCTTGGTTTTATCAAGCTGTAGAACATAAGATGTCAGGTCTGTCCATACTGATTTGTACTCATCTGCTGTAATTGCACCTTCAGTGTTGTGACTCAGAAAGTTATTTTTTAACTGTCGTAAGTTGTGAATTGTGTTATATTCTTTTGATGTAAGGTTACAACAGTTAAGTAAGATTATACAGGACAAGCTGATGTCAGGATCAACAAGCTGAACAGCATTAGCTGTGTATTTACAATGACAGTTGTGGCGACATGGCCCCCCTGTCTTACTGTACAGGATACTCCACTGCCTGTAGTTCAGTGGAAGGGATCCACTATGTACACAGTTATTGGAATCGCTACAACACCAAATATTATTATGTCTTAGATGAAATAGAATATGTTTGATCTGACGGTTATTGAGGTAGTCTTGTAAAGTGCCAAACGCACGGAATGTTTGGTCATCCTGTATACGTTGTTGTAGTAATGGTGTGACTACTTCTATGATGACAGATCCCACCACAAAGTAACGTCTACGGTCTTCTCTATCCATTCTGAAAATGTGTTTTAATTGTCATCAGAATAACATGTATAAGTTATTTCTTGTTTTAATAGATTTTTAATAGTATTTTTATACGCCCGTCAAAATTTTGACGGGACGTATTATGGTATTCAAATGTCGTCTGTCCGGCGTAAACATGTCGCACCGTAACTTGAGAACGACTTATCCAAATTTCATGAAACTTAACATAGTTGTTTCTTATGATGGTCAAACGATCTGTATACTTTTTGGTGAAAATAAGATTAAAACTTTTTGAGTTACTGGACTTAGTAACTAAAACAGGTGTGTGTTTTTTTTCACATGTCGCGCCATATCTCAAAAACCATTTATGATTATTGCTTAAAATTTTACACACTTCTTAGTTATATTTATCTAAAGATCTGTATACTTTTTGGTTTTGATTCAAAATCTTATTTTAGAGATATTGATTTTTTTTTTTTTTAAAAGGGGGGTTTTCACATGTCGCGCCGTATCTCAAAAACAATTTATGATTATTGCTTAAAATTTTACACACTTCTTAGTTATATTAATCTAAAGATCTGTATACTTTTTGGTTTTGATTCAAAATTTTATTTTAGAGATATTGAATTTTTTGTAAAAAAAAAGGGGGGTTTTCGCATGTCGTGCCGTATGTCAGAAACTATTTATGATTATTGCATAGAAATTCACACACAAGAAGACGGGCGTATCATGCGCTCATGGCGCAGCTATACATAGACCAATCTTTCCCAATTAGTTGTATTTGTAAACCCGAGTTTAAATAAATTTGTCACAATCCTTATCGGAAACAAACTAGGCAAGGGCAAAGGAAAGGCTCATCATATGAAATAAGAAAAATTGATGGATACGAAAAAGAAAACCCTTAAAAATTTTCATCAATGTTCGCCTATATTTAGAAATATTTCCAATACAATTGAAGTATAGTTTAAGGTTATTTTTTATATGGTCAATCAACTATGGATACAATCTGTTTGAAATGCCAGTCTCACAAAAAGCGGAATTATCACTTATGTACCAAAGGGGGATAAAACAAGACAGTTCATAAAAAATTGTGTCGACATTTAATCTTATAAACACAATTTGTAAACATGGTTCTAGCTTTAAAACAGCCAGATCAAACATCTTATCAATTCTAATAAATAATGATATAACATGTATTATTATTTCTGGAATATATATTGGTGGAAAAACTAGATTAATTTATTTATACAGCGGGCAGTGACATACCTGGTATTCCCTAACGTGTTTTGAAAAGGCATTTTAGCTTCATTTCTAATACTTAATTTTGGTTGCTAAAACATTAGTGTTTTGTATAAATTTATCCCTTTTGACATTGTGTTTCTTGTGGTCTTAAAATTGCTTGCTATGATTTTTACTGGCCCCTCAGCATCTCTTTGTTTTGTTTTTATTTTTATCAAGTATTATTGATGTTTGTATCCTTATCAAACATAATCAATGATCATTGATCATTGTAATACCATGCATATTTGATACAGACCTATTAATGATACTTAATCTTCTGTAGTCTTCTCAGTAAACATATGATTACATGAAAAGGGATAAAAGATTTTGATCAAAATGATTTCTTTAAATAGACAAATTATTGTGAACCACCATTTTGGAAGATAGATATATATATATATATATGTGTATAATCAAAAGAAGAAATACAGGGTTACAAAAAGTTATAAACTTTTTAAAGATTAATACCACACATCATCGTCACATTTGAAGATTTAAGTCATTCAGAATTACTTTACAGTTAATTTGCCAAAAAATGTGTTTACCTTATTTGTATGAAAGTGAAAGTAAATCTTTCATTGAAAATTTTAAGGAATGTTATGTAATCATTTAACTATATGAAGACACTAAGGCTTAAAAGATGAATTTTATATATTGAAATCATGTTTCCTTTACCTGATTATTAAGTTTATCCAGTTATTTCTTTGAGCAGTAAATCTTAACAATGCAATTTAATGGAAATCCCCTTTTCTATAAAAAGTAACATTACATACATAAGGTTTTATATATACTCCTATATGTATACGAATATGTGAAAACTGTTGTTTCTTATATGTGTTTGTAACTATATATACTGTATTGTTTATTATATTTGTAAAAATAATATTATAATGATATTGTATTATTCTCCTTGTGAGCCCATTTGATGGAAATAAACATCTTCTTCTTCTTCTACATACCTAACAAATATATATATAAAGAAAGACAACTCTTATTGATATTACACTTCATAAAAGTACAAACCAGTACAGAATATACAAGTCAGAAATAGAGATTGTACCCAATTAAGGGTTATCATATATTCATATATTAAAGGCAACTCACAGTATGTATCAGTCTGGATAATTTGTGTTTGATAAATAACTACCAAATTTATTTCAAATGGAAAATAATTATTAACTGAAATTTTCAATTTGTAAATGTGTCAAATTGAGATAAATCTTTATGCTATATATTGCATGTTCAAAGGACTTAGCTTACAGAGGGTTTTAATTGGCCTTAAAATTTAGATTTATTTAATCCCGCCAAAATTATACAAATTTCAAAAAGAAATAGTTGTGATATAACTAATTAATACAAAATAACTCTTTTTTGAATTTATCACATTAAAAATTATAAAGAAATGACCCCTCAATTAGGCATTATTTTTGTTGAAACCTTAGTTTTGGTAAAATTTTCAATAATTTGTTTTTAACATAATTTACTGATCCCTGTGTCTAGGGATTCAATATTATCATTGGCAAATTTTGGTTACAGAACATTTAAGATCCTGGGCTGAGGCCTAAGGTTTCCTCAACATGCTCAAGCTTTCAAGTCAGATAAATGCAAGCAAAAAAAGCATGGTTTTTTGACAATACATGTATATTTAAATGTGCTGACTTCGCAACCTAGAATGTACTCTAATGAAGAGATTTGTTTAACCTAGTAGCCTTTAAAATATATCTTAAGAACAAAATTATTGCCATTTTAAAATTTTAACATGAAAAAGTTGAAAGTCAAGGCAATATTTAGCCTAAAGTGAATCTTTTCCTTTTTTGATAAATATCAATATACCCAGTGCTTCAGTTTTGATATAAACCAGAGCAACATTATGAAATAATACCTTTCCCAAGTCAGTTTTCATAACAGGTATCTTCTAAATATTTTCTTGTGGTTTTAAAAGAGAGGTGAAAGATACCAAAGGGACATTCAAACTCATAAGTCAAAACTAAAATGACAACGCCATGGCTAAATAAGGAAAACGACAAACAATAGTACGCAAAACACAACACAGAAAACTGAGCAACAGGAAACCCCATCAAAAATTGGGGGTGATCTCGAGGGTATGCAGATCCTGCTCCACATATGGCACCCTTCGTGTTGTTAATGTTAGTACAAACCTAGTAATAAGTCTAATTCAGTAGGTCACATTCAGGGTAAATGGGATGGGATTGTAGTTACAACATTTGGAACATATCCGGTATCATCTTTGAAACGGATATTCCATAACGGTCAACCAACTCGTGATAACATCCTTAAAATTTACGAAGGGATGATTTCCACTTCACCACTTGGAGTTCTTGGTTTATTAGCTTTCTTGTGAGCAGCAACCCTCTTAAGGTGTATCTTAAGAAAACGAAATAAGATATTGTTGCAATAGCATTTTCATATGAAAATTAAAGAAAGACAAGATAACGTAATCAGCAGAATATCCTAGTATTTTTTCTTTGCACTCATTTTTGTAAGAAACTTTTCAGAAAAACACATAAAATCTCAATTGATAGACTAATAAAGACAAACTATAATGATTAATTAATTGATGTGATATTTTTGTTTGTTTTAGGACACAAGTAATGCAATGTTTATACTGGCTGACTTTAAGAAGATTGGTTCACCAGGAGAACTAACGCCTAACATACAGTTAGACCCATGTGTATACAAGAAAAGATAATGTCACATATTTGTTATAACAAGACAATAAATATGAAATAAATGTTATGATGATAAGACTAAAGAGATCTTATAAAAAAAGCCAGCTGGGCTATGATTTTTTAAGGAATCCTGTTAATAATGTTATTGATATGAACGATGTTGATGCACTACATTTTGGAGACTTAACACCAAGGTCATTCTTTAAGCTGCTCCAAATTATGCACTCAAATTGAAACCTAGTTTGGTTTTATTTCAAAATATTTTTCTGCCAAATTTGTATGATAAGTATTGTATACAATTTTCTAAACAACACTATAATTTTGTTATATGGTGTATGGAACCTACTGGTCTTATTTCAGTCCTTTACCAGTGCAATGTATCTTATTTCTAATTGGGTAATGTTGTGCTGAATGAGCTGCAATTGGTTTTATTAAGGTTAGTAATTTACTTAGGTTAATAGTTGCATATGTTCATGATTTTGTAGAATGCTGTAATCATATCAGCTGTCCACCAAAAAAAAAAGGAATTTGAAAGAAGATTTTAACCTATAATTATTTGCATGTATTAATGTTGTGTATTAATGCTTCATTTTAAAAATATGGAATCTTACTAAATGTTTATGCAATACTATTATTTACAATAAGTGCTTTTGTTGAAATAAAATTAAAGTTTTAATCCATGTGTTTTTGTCATCCTTATTTTTATATTTTTATTTTGATGCTGCTGAATTTATGTGTACATATTTAATGGTAAACAAACTGTTAGAACATGGATAATGACACAAGTGACCGACCCATATTTATGGAACATTACCTTCAAAGGTACTCGTAAGTTTTTTTTAAAGAGCTAGCAAATTACAAGAACACTAATTAAGTTATTTTCCTATCAAAAAATGTATTCTCAGTAATGATATAAGCAGGTCTAGCCTGTCTAGTGGATAATGTCTTATGTAAATGAGTATAAAAACACTTGGGTATATTTTTCTGTTTTTTCAAATTACAAAGGTAGGAAATAAAGCTCTGAAGAGGAAAGAAGGTCCTTTTTGTCCCTAGAAAATGATTTTACAAGGTTTGCATTGTTGTGACATCACAATATGCACATATTTCATGAAAATGAAGGAATGATGTTTTTTTACATTTTCCATCCATATTTCCTTTAAGGATACAAAATAACAACAAATTATATTTAGAAATACTTTCCTATAGCTTATAACATAATCCAGCCTGATGTAAAGTTGGGTACATTAAATACCTGTACTTTATACCCCAAATTACCGAAGTCCCTAATAAGGTATCGAAATCTTAAATTTATAGTGCAAAAGCAAGATAAATTGTCAATAAAGACTATTATTTGATAGGGTCATGTATCATTTTTGTCGAGCCTGCGACTGTTGTTGCAAAAGCGAGACATAGCGATCCTACATTCCGTCGGCGGCGTCCATAAATATTCACTCTGTGGTTAAAGTTTTTGAAATTTTAATAACTTTCTTAAACTATCCTGTATTTCAACCAAACTTGGAGAGAAGCTTGTTTATGATCATAAGATTGTGTCCAGAAGTAAACTTTGTAAAAAAATAAATCCTGTTTATCCGTATTTTACTCATAAATGGACTTAGTTTTTCTGCAAGTTAACATTACATTCACTCTGGTTAAAATTTTTCAAATTTTATTTACTTTCTTAAACTATCCTAGATTTGTACCAAACTTGGACAGAAGCTTGTTTATAATCATGAGATAGTATCCAGAAGAAAATTTTGTAAAAAAAAAAAATCCTGTTTATCCGTATTTTACACATATATGGACTTAGTTTTTCTGCCAGTTAACATAACATTCACTCTGGTTAAAGTTTTTCAAATTTTAATAACTTTCTTAAACTATCCTGGATATTTACCACACTGGGACAGAAGCTTGTTTGTGATTATAAGATAGTATTCAAAAGTAAATTTTGTTAAAAAAAATCCTGTTTATCCGTATTTTACTTATAAATGGCCTTAGTTTTTCTGCCAGCTAACATTACATTCACTCTGTGGTTAAAGCTTTCAAAATTTTAATAACTTTCTTAAACTATCCTGGATTTGTACCAAACTTGGACAGAAGCTTGTTTATGATCAAAAGCTAGTATCTAGAAGGAAATTTTGTAAAAATTTATTTCCTGTTTTTCTGTATATAACTTATAAATGGACTTAGTTTTTCATCCAGTTAACATTACATACAGTCTGTAGTTAAAGTTTTTAAAACATTTATTAGATTCATAAACCATTCTGGATTTTTACCAAACTTGAACAGAACTTCTTACAATCAAAAGATAGTATCTAGAGGAAAATTTTTAATAATTTTTTCCCCATTTTTGTTGAGCCTGCGACTAACAGCAAAAGTAGGCGAGACACTGGGTTCCGCGGAACCCTTACAAATTTTTGTCCACTTCATTCATATTTAACATTAGAAAAATGTTTTTTGTTTCATTAATCTGATCATTTGTTTCAAGTATGCTAGTTCCTTGTGTAAAAATATGACAGCTGTAGTTATGCAAAAGACAAAATTTTTCATCTCAATTATTAAGAAGATTTTTATTTTTTATTAGTCCAATACTTTATTTTTATTTATTTTTCTAGTTTGCCTTGTCAAAGAAAACCGACATGTTTCATCATCACTACTAACGCTTTTCCTTAAGATATCTACATTTTACAAGATTACTGCAGCTACAATAGCCCTAAATTATAGTGGCTGTGTTTATTATTTTTTTCATTATAGTTTTCAGGAATTTGATGTACTGCATAAAGTTATTTACTTAATGTGTCCATACTTTTCCCATGTAACCCATTCCTTGTTATATTACAACATCTACTCAAAATCTTGTTTTTAACTCCAATGGCTCTCCATACTTTTAAAGGTTGGATGTTTGATATTGATTTCAAAATGTATACATGTTCCATCAATCTAAGATTATGGTTATGTCCCTTCTGCTTGATGTGCAGTTTGACCCCGAATTCAATTTTGAAAATTAATAAGGGAAAACTGACAATTTTGAAGAGGCATGGTTCCCTTCTTGGTCTAGCCTACTGAGTACAAATGTCTAGAACTTCACATCAACATTTTAAATCAGTGGATATATATCTACTGACTGTGTGTTTTGGTTTAAACATGTATGATGCACGAACGACTAACTCTCATTGCAGCATTTAGAAAAGCTAGTCTGGATTTTTGGTTCAAATGGTCTTCTTTATATACTGCCAAGCCTAGAACAGTTTCTATCAGATCAAGGCACGCTTGTGGGTCACGTGAGTACTGAGGTCTACTTTCTATGTAGGCTACAGAAAGCTAAACATACTTATTTTCATTTTATTTGAAAAAAAAAACATATATATTCTTCAACAAATAATGAAAAACAATAATGACAGACAGGAATAAATAACAACCATTGGATAATAGGCTCTTGGCTTTAGAGAAATATGTACAGAATGTCGTCGAGTACTCAATCCCTTGCCTCCAATGGAAGGGTGTTGTAACAACAAAGAAAAACAACAAACTGTCAAATCAGTTGTTAAGTGCTATGTACATAGCACAGAACAATATAGAAGCAGGCATTATTGTGTTAAACATTACCACATACATAATTCAAAGAAGCTGAAAACAGGAAGCAAGTGTGTTGGCAGATCCGAAATGCCTTACTTGCAAAAACCAATTTCTGCCTAGCTACTGATATAAGCTTGACATAATTCTGTTTAGCAGTATTTGAGAAATATGTGATGGAAAAATATTTTTATAGAATTTTAAGTCTGATTGCCAATGAGTGAACAATCACTGATCACCATGTGGCTTTAAACAACGAGCAACACTCATACTGATAGTAAGCTATACAAAGCCCCAGTATGACAAACTTGGAAACAATTCAAAATAGATTTCCAATTAATGGCCTGATATAAATTTCAACTATGCACAAACAAAATCAGCAGAAATCCAACAACAACCACATGATTACAGGTGTCTGGCTTAGGACAGGAACTTAGAAAATGTGGCGGGGACATGCCTGTGAGTGCTCACCTCTGTCTTTGATTTGCCATTTTTTTTTTGTAATATTAAACAAATTTTAATTTTTGAAATAAGGTCCCTTTTAAAAATCCCAGATCCACCCCTGATATAATAAAAAGACAAAAGAAGACTAAACTATCCTTACATACACCTCCATCTGACAAAGTATAAAGATGTCAAAGCTGTTCTGAGAAAAAACACGACCTTGTGCAATGCCAAACATGATTGCTACCCTGTAGAGAAATGTACCTCACCACTGTATAAGTAATAAATAAATTGGTATGATGAAAGCAAAACTCCAGCAAAATTGGTCAAATCAAAATGACAGTTTAACATGGTCCTCTAAACATGATGGCAAATAATCATGAACTGAGTATGAGACTTTCCAGTAAAAAGGGTCAAATCAAAATGGTGGTACAATATTGCCAATTACATATGATGGCAAACTATCCTACTAATATGACAGTTCTGTCAAAAATTTAGAGAAGTTGGGTTCACAAGGTACCAATTTTGCTATACTAAACAAAATCGTTAAAGTCCCATAACTCCCATAAAAATTGTAAATCAAAATTGCATATCAATATGGTGAAGTAGTCATGTTGGCAAACAATCCTACAAAGTATGAAAGGATAAATAAATAGGTTGTGAGATCATTTTATGATAGGTGAATGAAAAATCATGTTTAGTTATGTGTAAGCCTTGTGTTATGTGCATCTTTGAAAACCATGAAGTTTGGGTTTAACATAAACAGTGATTTTCAAAAAGTTTTTTGCTGTTTTTACCCTCTAATGTTCTATGATTTATCTATACTACTTAAGGAAGAGACCGATTTCATTGCACCCCAACTCCTCTGAAACCATACAAAGTCGGAAATATTTGTGATATGGCGTATAAATGTAGTGTTTTGTACTTCCTAAATTTGTCTTTGAAACAATCTTTTTTCCACAGAAAATACCAATTTTTGGGAAAATATCCAAATTGGGAGACCGTTATCGATCCGTGTCTTATATGCTCAGTCGACTTACTGCCCTGTCAGGTGCACCACCAAACGGATTTATATTTGATTTGCTATATACACGGGTCATAATCACACCTGAAGTTCATCATTAAATAGGGTTGACACTACTAAATTCAATCATTGCCACATTGTTTCCGGTTGTAGTATGTTAATCAGTTTGACTTTATAAGTAACAATACATTCAACTTTATATATAACTTATATAGGATAATGCTCAGTGTTGATTACAAATTACACCACTCCAGACTCTTTTGTTTTCTAAATAATATAACAAAAAATTGATAAGTTCCAGGTCGACAGGTTCAATCAGAAAGATTTTGAAATCAGAGAAAACCGTGCCTATTATAATCAACATGACTTTATTATATGACAATGCCAACACTCAAAATCCAGACTAAAAATAAGGCTAATACAAAATTAGATACTTCAGTCACGGACCCACGATGTCGCGGGTGTGTTTAGTTTTAGCAATGCAAACCAGTTTGGTTACATGGAACATTGGTTACACGGAACAATCATCAGCCTTATATATATTAAAGGTTTTTAAAATGTTAAGCTTTAAAAAAAGTTAACGGTAATACAACAAGTTAACAACATGTAACAGATACAATGGTGATGATAATTGTCCACTAAACAAAAGTATGTCCATTTTAACTACAAAGTTTCACGAAGTTCTGTTGTGTGAATTCATAGGATTTGGGATGACAAACTTGCAGTAGTATATTCAAGCCAAAATTTCTATTAGGCATAACTCCTAGAAAAAAAATTCGTAAGGGTTCCGTGGAACCCAGTGTCTCGCCTACTTTTGCTGTTAATCCCAGGCTCAACAAAAATGAGGAAAAAAATTTAATAAAAATATTCCTCTCTATACTATCTTTTGATTGTAAGTAGCTTCTGTCCAAGTTTGGTAAAAATCCAGGATAGTTTATGAATCTAATAAATGTTTTAAAAACTTAAAACTGCAGACTGTATGTAATGTTGACTGGAAGAAAAACTAAAGTCCATTTATAAGTAAAATACGTAAAAAATGGAATAAAATTTTAACAAAATTTCCTTCTAGATACTAGCTTTTGATCATAAACAAGCTTCTGTCCTAGTTTGGTAGAAATCCAGGATATTTTAAGAAAGTTATTAAAATTTTAAAAACTTTAACCAGAGTGAATGTAATGTTAACTGGCGGAAAAACTAAGTCCATTTATAAGTAAAATACGGAAAAAATGGAATTTTTTTTTACAAAATTTACTTCTGGATACTATCTTATGATCATAAACAAGCTTCTGTCCAAGTTTGGTAGAAATCCCGGATAGTTCAAGAAAGTTATTAAAATTTCAAAAACTTTAACCACAGAGTGAATATTTGTGGACGCCGCCGACGACAACGCCGACGGAATGTAGGATCGCTATGTCTCGCTTTTTCGACAAAAGTCGAAGGCTCAACAAAAATTGAATAATAATTTCTTGTCGATATGCACATCTAAACAGTATGTCCTTATTATTCCCCTACCGACGAAGTCGAAGAGGACTTTAGGTTTGCACTCCGTCCGTCTGTCGGTCTGTCCATCCGTCAGTCCGGCAAATCAGTTTTCCACACTTTTTTTCTTCGTTCTTGAAGATATTGATTTGATATTTGGTATATAGTTTTATCATGACAAGTTATAGATCAAGTTCGAATTTTGTTCCGGTCTGATGATTTAGTCCAGAGTTATGGACCATAACTCTGGACCATATCTAATGTTAAGAGTACTATGTTAAACCATATTTCTGTACAAAGGGAGATAACTCATTTTTTAAAAGACATTCTTTGTTAAATTAAGTGAAGAATTTTTTGGCAGGTTTGTTGGTTATTTAGTATAAACTAACTATCTGAATGCTATATATTTAAAAAAAAATTATAAAGAGAAAAATTTTAATTAGATAGTAATCTTTTTTTTATTAATGTATATATTTCAATACATTACATTGTGTAGATAAAAGTTGTTGACATTTTATAGATAAGTTACAAATCTATATTAGTTTGTGACAAATGAAAGAAAAAATATTTGGAACTATTAATTATATTTGATTATAATTTGAAAATAGATATACACTGTATTACATCATATCTAGTTTTAGAGAACTATTAATCATATCTAATGTTTTTTTCATCATGCTTATAAGATATTGATTGATAATTGGTATATAGTTTTATCATGACAAGTTACAGATCAAGTTCAAATTTTTGTTTCGGTCTAATAATTTTGTGCAGAGTTATGGTCCTTGGACTTGAAAAATTCACTCATATAATCAGTTTTCCACACTGTTTTTAGTCATGCTTGAAGATATTGACATGATATTTATCAGAATGCTTGTTATCTACAAAGTTCAAATTCTGTAGTGTGGTTTTAGAGGAGTTGCAATGACAAAACAGGACTGACAGACGGGTCAACAACATTATACCCTACAGAACTGTGTTTGATGGGGTATACATCTGAGAAATAGACCAAATCACAAAAAAATAAGTGACCAGTGAACAATGTATATAAGGCAATGGTCAAATGAAATCTGTCAATCAGACAAGTACACCTTATAATCATTCTGTGCACTATATATAGTTGACCTGTTGCTTATAGTTTCTGAGATGCGGACTTGACCAGGAAAAATTAACCTTGATGACTGATCCATAACATGAGATGAAGTCTGTTGAATCCTGCCTTGCAAGGATCCCATATACCAAATATAGTTATCTTTTTACTCATAATATGTGAGCATTTCCCATGACAAAAAAAAAATGCAATTTTTTTCTGGCAGTTTCTTTTAATCATGAAAATGAGGTTAAGGATCATGGACTCAGTAACATCTGGCATCTAAAATATAAAGATTATAACAAACGTGTAAGTACTGGTAATCCCTATGTCCGGCAGTTGAAGTTTACACAAAAGGACTCTTTTATCACATATCAATCTCATCACACCTGCATGGGTAGTGTAAATGCCGCATTGCATAGAATATTAAACAAAAATTACAGGAGAGAACTACAAAAATTAAATAAAACACAAGAAAAAACAGTTAAATGCATATCTATGTTCTGACTTGTGAGAGAAAATAACACAAGAAGTAAATAGCACAACAGTATACTTTGTTTGTACTGAAATTTATTTTATTCTTAAAAATGATGACTTCATATTTACACAAATGTAAACAAATAACAAAAACAACAGATATGACAAACCACTTCAGTTATATTTTCAAATGGTACTCAACATTGTAATGTTACATTTGAAAATAGACAGTATCATATATATATATAGGGCAATACATGTATACATTCACTATTGTTGCTCGGAAAATGAGATAAATTAAAGAAATTTTCACACTTGTGAAAATGTGAATATAAAGTTCTTTTCATCATATCATTTTTTTTTCTTAAACCATAACAACTAGATATTGTGAGAATAATATTAAGATATACCTTGATTTCCATTTTTTAAATGCTCAATAGGTATTTCATACCTTTTTAGTTCACATGTAAATACATGTTGTATCTAACATGCTCAACAACATCAAGAAATATTTTGTAGTTAGATCCAATTAAAAATGTGTCTTACATAACAATATTTCTGAAGCTTTATGTGGTGTTCATTATTGTAGGTCTTGTTTGTATATCTATAGATTTGTCTGTTTTTGATGGGTGGTGTGGTTTGTTTTACTTCCAATTACGGTACATGACATATTTCTAAAGCTTTATGTGTTGTTCATGTATTGTAGGTCTTGTTTGTACATGTATATCTATAGAGCTGTCTGTTTTTGATGGGTGGTGTGGTCTGTTTTTGATGGGGGGTGTGGTCTGTTTTACTTCAAATCTTTTGGCAATTCCTGTTATCCTTTTTATGCATTAATTTGTACATGACTGTTCAATAAAAATAACAATATAAAAGTATGTTTTTTACCAAAAATAGGTTTATCCTTTATACAATGTTTTCAATAGATTGTAAAATACTAAAATATGTTACAAGTCTGCTTATATATTCAGATCCCAAAAGGTACTAAGTTAAAAAATTACATTACATTAAAATATTTCATAATGATGAGATGATGTCTCAATTGAAAAAAAAAACATAGCAGTTTACATTATAAGATGTAATGCAATTCAAATGCTGCTTATGTAATGCGTTGATAAAAAAAATGCCAAAACAGTTAACACAGAAAAGTATCAACTTCAAGTAACATTGTATTTAAAATTAATAGCATTCCTTATCAAATGTATGGCATGAAAAAGGAAGGCCTCTGTTAATAGGCTGCTATTTCAAAATTTAAAAAAAAATAAAATTACTTGATTTCAGTTTATCGGCTTGTCTAATATTAGCTGTAACGGAGATTGAATGGTGCTTGTCTTATGCCCAGCGACAACTATTAAGCATGTGCATATTAAGGACGCTTACAAGTTAATGAATATGAATTTACCATGCTTTGTATTAGACATCATGCTAATCCAAATTTTTCTACAAAGAAGTTATTACACAGGAAGCAACGTTAACCTAACAGGACCCAATCAGTTTTTGCTATCACTCTAAATGCTGCAGGCTTGGCAGGAAACCATCAAATAATAATTTTAAAGTCTGTTTTGAAAAGAAATTTAATGTATTTTAATCTCAAATGTGATTATTCTCCGTAACAGCATATAAATATATAGAAGAAAAAATAATTCCCAAAATGGAAAGATATTTTCAAATAACATTATTTCATATACAATATTTTAAGTGACTCTTTAAATAAATAATTGTGGAGCATTTCCCTTGAACCACAAGGATTTGATATATCATTCTTCAATACATAAACAAAGAAATGAAAAAAATATCATATTTAGTACATATATTTGATACATATTTAATCATAAAAAATCCAAAAAAATATCAGAAATTGAAGGCACCATGCTTAATTTTCAGTTTTATGTGAAGGTAGTTCTGAATAATTAAGTCTTATATTACCAGACAAAAAGTTGGCTGAATGGGAAAATGTGCTGATCCTACAGTGTCCAGGAAACACTAAAAAATTATATTTGGAGATGTTAAATATATCATCATGATTATTGCAGTAACAATTTAAACATATAAGTTCAAAAATACAAATAAAATGACAATATACTGGGAAAAAAACCCACAAGTATTGCAAAATATATCAATGAGTGGTAAAGGGGAAATATCTGCTGCAATATCCAGATCTTCAAAATGCCTGGGTATCATAATATTTTTTTCCATGTTTTTAAGTAAAAATAATCTGTTTAATGTTTATCTAAGTGAATTCTGGTTTTATGCTAATTATCTACAATAATAATAAATAAAGTTCTTAACAAAATATCTTACAGGAATGAAAGACTTAAGAGTGTACAGATTCTGGTTTAGGGTTGGAGCTTTTTCAAAATTAAATGGATGGGGGATGGGTTGAAAGACATTTTCTCTGAAGACCCCCACCCATACAAACTAAATTAGAAATGTAATGCATTATAGTGGGAAAAGTTGTTTTGAACCCCACTACCGCTAAATTATTAATATTATGTATATCCAACTCTTCCAGCCCCCCCCCCCCCCCTTACAATTAATTTTGAAATAGTCCTTATTACATGGATGCTACAGTCTAAAAAATACATTTCCTTGTATATTTCTGGTGGTCCTATCAGAAATTCTTATTGGAATGCAGTATGAATTAAAATTATATTGTAGTAATCATATTTAGGGATTGCAACTTAACGTTTTGCACAGGAAATTTAAAGTTTATTAGGTTTGACATATTTAATATTTTTTGCAACAAAAGGGGAGGCATGATATAGCAATTTGAATTCAAGTCTCAAAAGAATTGCAATCTATAAAACAATACCTTCAGAAATATACAAGACAGAATGGAAGTCTGTAGGATATCAGTTACTGTAAATTCAGAATTTATGAGATGTTTTTTATTATTTTGGAATTCCAGATCTGATAGCTTTAGAAAAAAAAAAAAATCTGCATTTTAAATTTTGAAGACATTTTTTGAATGCAGCATTTCCTGGAAAACCAATAATAAATCTGACTTCATTGTTCATTAATCACAATAATAAATCTCTGGTATTTATTCATTGTTCATTAACCACAATAAAAAAATACATGGAATGATTTCTGAATTTACAGTACAGTATCTCCATGATATCCTAGCTGAATTGTTCTAACATATAAACTTCCTACATGTTAGGAGTAACTGCCATCCCTGTCATATTTCAGGGTCATATTTTCTTTAGATATTTTTTATATTTGAATATGAGAAACAACAACACTCAAAACAGATTTGTAGACACAAGATGATGCTGATGTCAGTCAAACATTTTTTTTATATTTCACCTTAACACATGCACAAACAAAATGAAATATGTTTATTTTGGTCCAATATCTATGACATCACAGTGGCTAACACAATTGTGTCCAGATTATATCATGATTAAACTCTATCTTTAAAGGATAATTTTTTTTTCTATTTTACAAATTTCAATTGAATGAGATTTTATAGTTGTATTTACATCACATAAATAGAAAGTGGAAAATCTCAGAGAAAAAGAAATTGGAGTGTGTTTCATATAATATTATATTTATTGGACAATGAGAGTTAAAGTGAAATAAATAGTTGTTGTTTTGTTAATAATTTATTGCAATTTTAAAATCATTGCAAGAAATAAATCTCGAATGCTCCTACTAACAGGAATACTGTCACATTTTTCACTGTGTTTGAAAAGTATTTTTTTTCCGAATAATTATTTCTAATTGCAATATAGGATTCACAGCTGACTCCTAAACACAGATCGTTTCCTTTATAAAAAATTCTCAGAATCTGTACAAGAATGTATTGATTTGTTGACTTCATTCTCTGGATTGATAAAATAAAATATATCCCGTCTCTGAATTTTTCTGTAGATCTGACGGCAGTCCATAAAAATCTTCTATTGTAGATGGGTCAATTTTCTGTAATGAAAACAAATTTTGAATTAAGAATTTTATTTAAACACAGGAAACCTGTGCATCTAAGTGGATTGAGAATATAGTTGTATTGCTGCATTTCGACCAATTTTAGTGAATATGCTACAGAATAAATGCAAAATTGTGATTTAAAAAAAAAGAAAAGCAGATGCTCAAAATTCAAATATGTATTTTTCTGTGATTATTGAACAGTTTTCGAATATTGCATGCCATATAGTATGCTTGCAGCAAGATACTGATTCTAATGAAAAATGACTATGTTTCGTTTCTAAGAATTTTGAAATCCTGATTGCTACTATCTTATTACTTGCAATTTTGAAAATGGTTAAGTATATACAAAATTTATTGAAATAATTCTCATGCAGAGCTAAAATACCTTGTACATGTATGTAATTGAACTAAAAGAGGCCAGTAAATGTTGGTTAACAATCCTAAATCAACAAATCCATCTTTAATACATATTGTTTCTATAAAGTTATATTAGAGAATAACTCAATACATATTTGATTGTATGAAGTCTCTATGGTAACCAATACTTACATCAACAATATCATCGTCAAACAATAACCAGAAACCATCACTTTTAACAATACTGATATAATGACCTCTGTTTAAACTGCTACCTATGTGTATCACCACGGCAACAAGGTCATACATTCTATCAGGGTTGAAAGCATCATCTGACTGAAAGAACAGAATAAGGAATTTATTATTTGAAATACATAAGTTCATGCTGGTTTGAGACCTATCAATTGAGATTAAATATGTAAATTGTTTTAAGGGATCAGTTTTCACAACCATTTTTAGGGATAGAAAAGTGGTATCTTAGTTTCCTCAAAACAACAAAAGAATCTCCAACTGACGGCTAATATCAAGTTCAATTGTTTTACATAAATAGATAGTTGGAAGTAAATCCATTTCATTAATGTCTTACTCTCTTAATAATGACCAATTTATATGTATCACACAGTAAGTATCTAACTAAAAACTTATAAATAAAAATTTCTTGCTACATCTGATCATTGTAACATGAATGGTAATTTTCCTTTGTTCTTCGAGTTAGTTTACTTCAGTTATTTCAAGCGGAGTGCGTTAACTGAATAGATTTTTAGTTGTAGCTATACTTCTTGTCCATCAAATACATTAATTTCGTAAAAGGCACACTATAGATAACTTAGTTATTTTGATTGGATATGTATCATATGTATCAACTTAGGGCTGTTCCAGATTTAAATCCAAGGGTGGATGGGAGGCACTATTTAAAGACCCCAACCACCCACAATATAAAATTTTCATTTTAGTTATAATTCTTTTAAAATTTTAAGAAAATGCAAACACCCACAATTTATTTATTTGAGTGTCTCCCATTTCCCAATGCGTTTAAATCTGGAACATACATTAGTACTTTAAAATAAACAAAGAAATACTAGTACAAGTATGTTATCAGTTTTTACAGGTAATATGATTGAAGCAGACATTTGTAATGGATGACAATGTTAGTCTCACTTAACAGGATTTCCATTTGAGATAATTATATTATTGGGCTATCCTGTTTCCCAGTAACTGAGCTTGGACCCAGGCACACAGGTTCTAGAAGGTCTAGTGGTCCGTATATATATTCAACATAAAACAATATATACCTCAGAGTACAAATATAAATTTGGTGAAGGTCAGTGTTTATCATGTCTTCTTCCTGATATACATTGACCAACATGAACTTGAATGTTTAGAAATCAGCTTAAAAGCTTCATTAAACAAAGAAATCATTGGTACATAATTTCTGTAGTTTTTCATACAAGGACTGTTGCATCATGATTTATAAACATTTGTACTTACTGTATTAAATAATCGCAATTCTAAAGGAAAGACAACTCTGTATGAAAGTTTTGTAAATCTGTTCATCTGTTCCATGTATTTAAAGCGTTTTAAATGTAAGGCTAATATCTGTGGCAGTTTTTTTACCCTCATTCTGAAAATACATTAGTTTACTTTCTTAGGTTTCAGTATCAAGTGCTGTGTATTATCAACAAAATGTCAGCAATTGTTTTGTGAATATGGAATGTTTCAGTTTCTTTTGACTGTTTGTTTCGTTACTATTGACACATTATTTATAGATTATCGATGGTTTTTTTCCAAACGAGAGGTTGTTTCACAGCTACAATCTCATCAAAGGGCGATAGCTAAGACCATTGGTAATCTGTTTATAGCTTTTTTGACTATGACGTCATTAATGTTTACATTGACAACCGCACTTGAGGTCTTAGTTTCTGACGATGATTTACTATCTCAAGTGAGCAGCATGATATGAAAAATTATTACAAGAAAAGAGCAAAGGAAAAATGCACAAAATAGTGATAAAATTCATTATTTATCTCTATATATTAAATTGTGTTGACTAGAAACCAATAGTTAACAATATCTGCATAATTAAGGAAATTATATCTATGCCAAGAATCATTTGAAGATGCAAATTTAAATCCAATTGAATATTAATCAATAAAATTGTTGTACTTACTGGCATGTAGTTCTAGAAACTAGAGAGGAAACAAAAAATGACACTCGCCAAAATGCTATTGATACAAATGAATTCAATCTTTTTAGCAAGAACAGATGCATTAAATCAATTAAGTCTGCTTGTTTGACTTTAACACATCTATGTGTTACTTCATATCTCAGAAAATGTTTTTACTGACCTTTTCTGGGCTTCCTGTTTACTACAGCATACTTCACAGTAATACTTCTGTTCAGCACACAGTGTCTCAGTACTACTGAATCCTCTAAGACAATGTGTAATTGAGGTATTTTGTTCTACATCTACAGAAAGATCTAAAAAGTCTTCATCTTTGCTGCTAACCTGTAAAAAAAGCAAAGAAATTATACTTATAATTAATCTTTTCTACTTATAATACATCTATCACATATTATACTAATAATTAATCTATTATACTTAAAGTACATCTATCACAAACCATACTTATAATTAATCTATTATACTTATAATAAATCTATCACAAATTATACTTATAATTAATCTACGTCACAAAATATTATAAATCTAGTAGAAAATAACTTACTGTTTCACAATTAAGACATCTAGTTTCGTTTATAAAGGTGCCCTGGAATAATTCCTCTATAGTAGTAACTTACTGTTACACAATTAAGACATCTCGTCTCGTTTGTAAAGGTGCCCTGGAATAATTCCTCTATAGTAATAACTTACTGTTTCACAATTAAGACATCTAGTCTCGTTTGTAAAGGTACCCTGGAATAATTCCTCTATAGTATTAACTTACTGTTTCACAATTAAGACATCTATTCTTGTTTGTAACAGTACCCTGGAATAATTCCTCTATAGTATTAACTTACTGTTTCACAATTAAGACATATCGTCTCGTTTGTAAAGGTACCCTGGAATAATTCCTCTATAGTATTAACTTACTGTTTCACAGTTAAGACATCTCGTCTCGTTTGTAAAGGTACCCTGGAATAATTCCTCTATAGTAATAACTTACTGTTTCACAGTTAAGACATCTAGTTTCGTTTGTAAAGGTGCCCTGGAATAATTCCTCTATAGTAATAACTTACTGTTTCACAATTAAGACATCTAGTCTTGTTTGTAAAGGTGCCCTGGAATAATTCCTCTATAGTAGTAACTTACTGTTTCACAATTAAGACATCTTGTCTCGTTTGTAAAGGTACCCTGGAATAATTCCTCAATAGTAATAACTTACTGTTTCACAGTTAAGACATCTCGTCTCGTTTGTAAAGGTACCCTGGAATAATTCCTCTATAGTAATAACTTACTGTTTCACAGTTAAGACATCTAGTCTCGTTTGTAAAGGTGCTCTGGAATAAGTCCTCTATAGTAGTAACTTACTGTTTCACAATTAAGACATCTAGTCTCGTTTGTAAAGGTACCCTGGAATAATTCCTCTATAGTATTAACTTACTGTTTCACAATTAAGACATATCGTCTCGTTTGTAAAGGTACCCTGGAATAATTCCTCTATAGTAATAACTTACTGTTTCACAGTTAAGACATCTAGTTTTCGTTTGTAAAGGTGTCCTGGAATAATTCCTCTATAGTAATAACTTACTGTTTCACAATTAAGACATCTAGTTTTGTTTGTAAAGGTGCCCTGGAATAATTCCTCTATAGTAATAACTTACTGTTTCACAGTTAAGACATCTAATCTCGTTTGTAAAGGTGCCCTGGAATAATTCCTCTATAGTAGTAACTTACTGTTTCACAATTAAGACATCTCGTCTCGTTTGTAAAGGTACCCTGGAATAATTCCTCTATAGTATTAACTTACTGTTTCACAATTAAGACATCTCGTCTCGTTTGTAAAGGTGTCCTGGAATAATTCCTCTATAGTATTAACTTACTGTTTCACAGTTAAGACATCTAGTCTCGTTTGTAAAGGTACCCTGGAATAATTCCTCTATAGTATTAACTTACTGTTTCACAATTAAGACATCTCGTCTCGTTTGTAAAGGTACCCTGGAATAATTCCTCTACCCATGTAGGTTCTGGTTTACTCTGGATCTCTGGGTTATTCACTGACTTTGGTTTGTTGCCCTGTTTTTCTGCTAATAACATAAAGAGATAAAAGGAAATTGATTCTACATAAATCACAATTTACACAAATGTTTTTTAATTTGTTTCTTGATTTTTCAATTAAAGCAAACAATTGTAAGTTATTTGCAGAACAAATATTTGTGTCTTTTCCATTGAAGGTACAATAAAAAAAATTCAAATGCTACAAAAATGTGTGTTATGGTGTATGGTTTTAGGTTACAGAGGTGATTTATATACAAATTTGTAAATATTCATTTTTCTGCTGTATAACTTATCTGCAACAGCAGGAAACTTCTAGTGCATTTTGGTATAGTATAGACTAGAGTAATAAAGTGTACATGTATAAACATAATAATCTATAGAAAATTGACTTTTTTTACAACTTAAACATCCAGCGTAAACACATTTCCTACCATGATCTTTCATATCTGCCTCATTCTAAGATGAAACCAAAGTTTTCTCATGAAAGAAGTCATACAAGATAAATCATGTAGTCCCCAATAATATAGTTTACCTTGAAGCAGCTCTGATACTCTGTTTAACAAGTAATTCAAGAATTCATGTGCATCCTGCTGCATATAATTATCAAATAATTCTGAAAAAAAAGAATGAGTATTGACCATAAAATTAACCAAAGTAATTGAATTAAACTACTGACTAACAGTATCGTTATTGTAACTAATTGTATATTCATTTTAGAAGCTGGGTGATAATTCATTTTGCATAGGAAAAATAACACATAAATGAGTCAATAGATGTCCATATGACCAGGATCATCATAAATTGATTTTTTTTAAATGAAATTATCTAATTTTAAAATTTGTGGATATGTCACTAAAAGATAATGGTTAAAATCATTCTAAAAATACTTAAAAATACTGGGTAGAATGAGTTGATTTTCAAATTTTTAAGGTATATACATGTACTTCTGATATACCTGGTATTAACAGCTTTTTAACAAATGAAAATATGTTTTTATGCCCCACCTAGGGCATTATGTTTTTCGGTCTGTGCGTCCGTCTGTCCCACTTCAGATTAAAGTTTTTAGTCAAGGTAGTTTTTGATGAAGTTGAAGTCCAATCAACTTGAAACTTAGTACACATGTTCCCTATGATATGATCTTTCTAATTTTAATGCCAAATTAGAGTTTTGACCCCAGTTTCACGGTCAAATGAACATAGAAAATGATAGTGCGAGTGGGGCATCCATGTACTATGGACACATTCTTGTTTGTTTATTTGTTGTAATCATTTACTAGAAAGATGACGACAGCAAATGATTGATTGATTGATTGTTGCTTGCTTAATGACTTGTGGCAATTATTACTCACATAGTCATGTTCAGGACAAACTAAAGAAATAGAATTTCTTGTAAAAATATCAAGGAACCAAGATTTAATATACATTCAAACTTCTTGCAGCTGATATGTTTGGTTCCTTTTTAAAGTTTGCATAAAATTAAATTTTTTACGTAGTGTTTAGTGAAATGTTAGTCGTAATTACTTCTTTTTTCTTTCACTGTTGCCTGTTCTTCTTCAACTTAAATTTGATTGCCCCTTCATTTATTCTTTTTGTGATTTTTTAAATGTGAATGTTATTTCATTTATCTTTATTTGTTTCTATTCCTCCCCCTTTAAGTAATTAACCTAAAAGTTGTGCTTGATATAGTTGCAGAATAGAATAAAAAAGAGGTACACACAATTAAAAAGACATTTTTTAATAATAGTTCTCACATCCTTAGCCATATGAATATTATGTGTTTGCACATACCATACTCTTTTCTCAATCTGGTGATAAATTTCTTTGGTGCGATAGTTCCCACTTTTTTCTTCTGTGTAGCTATACTATAGAAAAGATCAGCCAGGCAAGTCAATAATGTCTCTTTCTTATTATTCTTCTGGTGTTGTTTAAATTGTAAAACTTTCTCTCGGAATGGTCGACAAAAGAACAAAGCTTGCAGCACAGAGTTACCATAACATGTGTTACCAAACTGCAAACAAAAAAATAAGCAAGAAGGTAAATAAAATTTCCTTGGAACATTCGGTATGGTCATAATATTAATGGATGAATTAAAAATGTACATGTTTGAACATTAGACGATTTTAAGCTTGTTGACATATATATATATATTTACAAATAATATTTGGAAGTGGAACATTCCCTTGAAATACCAATTGATTTAATTTGCTGTTTTTAAATATTATCATGACCTTCATCCTCTTGACTACGAAGTTCTGTATTATCCTTCTTCTGTTTTTCTAGTTGGTCTTTTCATACATGTACATGTATAATAAATTTTATGAAAACAATACCAAAATGATTTATGAATAAGTGTGCATTATGTTGATTTTTTAGTGTATTTCAACATAAAGTCATGAATAAAATATGCATTTTGTCTACAATGTGTCAACAAGGTAGAGTGGTTTCTCAAGGGTCTGCACAAGTTTGAAGACAAAGTGTAATACACATATAAATGTGTTTCTCTTATGGTTGTAACCTGTTATCTATTTCTTACATGGAGAGATATTTCTCTTCCCACACTGCACGGAGTGTGATACGAAAACTCTGTTAATTTGATTGGCTTATCCAGCATCATGAAACAATATTAAGACATTTCCATTGGCTATTCATTAGGTCAGTGATGACTTTCAAAGGTTACGACAATCTACATTTTTTCCATGGCACCAGACAAATGTGATTTCTTGAATTATACAGTTATCATGGTTATACAAAACACTCACAGTTTTCACCTGAATTTCTTCTTTTAGTCAAATTATATTACATTAAAAGCGTACAAAAAGTTTTATAAAGTTTGATGTTAAAGTTTGACACCAGAACAAGACATATGACGTCATGCTGGAATCTGAAAAATACTAGATCATTGATTCGTAGAATTTTCAATTTAACACAATGAGAGCGTTGACCATAAAAGAAATAGGTTTAACAACTCTTGAGAATTGTATATCGCTTGATATCAACTCGTTTTTAATTCTAGTAGTAAAAATAAACTCGCTGAAGGCTCGTTTATTATTATATTGAAATTAAATAACTCCAGTTAACAACAAGCGATATCCAATTCTCACTTGTTATGAAACTTATAAATATTGAAAATATTTTTTAAGTGATAGTTATACATTGTTAAAATTCATGAAATATTACACGTTACATGTACATTGTAATATATTGACATTTACCTATATTTCTTGGTAATTTCTGAAATGTTTATTACTTACATTGACAAGACCAAAGTAATGTTCATTGGCTGGTAACTGCTCTGTACCTATTTCTATATTTATTACTTACATTGACAAGACCAAAGTAATGTTCATTGGCTGGTAACTGCTCTGTACCTATTTCTATATTTATTACTTACATTGACAAGACCAAAGTAATGTTCATTGGCTGGTAACTGCTCTGTACCTATTTCTTTCTCCAGCTGTGATGGATTATTCCCCTGCAAACAGAAAATAATGGGGACATGTACAAGTCAATACATGTGCATTACTGCACTGAAATTTTAAAATATCCTTACATGAAAAATAGTAAATTTGTACATTTAGTCTTGTATTTCCTAACATTGCATACATTGCAAATCCTGAAGCTTTCCTGCATCCATACCTTCTTCATGTTCTTATTATTCCTATATATGTTGATGTCTAAAAAGGAGGTGTTGATTGTTTCAGAGTTTTTTTATGCAACATTTTCATTGATGTTTACTTGTGCTGATCAATTCACGAAATTGATTAAAATAAAATTGTGATTGATTATTGAATATTGGTAAAACCCAAAGAACAGAACACTGATGATATATAATGCTATGTTAAATAATTATAAAGAGGCCACAAAGAAAACAAATGACATTCACAATTAATGTGCTAAAAAAAAGTGGTTTCTCATTTGCAAACAGACACATTTAGCATGTTTAGCTTGATCATGTTAACAGATTAACAAAATGGAATAAATTAATGTGTTTTGATGGATTTAGAGTATTTTAGGGTTATAAAAAGCTTTTTCAAGGTGTTAAAATTATTCATTTGGATTGAAAAGTATTTATTTTCCTTCAGAAACAAAAATGCAAAAAGGCAGAGGGGAGCTGTGCCCCTTGATTTCCAGCAAATTTGTATTTGAGGAGCAGATCATTTCCAGCAAATTTGTATTTAAGGAGCATAGGATTTCCCTTTAGAATATCAAGGCGACACCACAGAAAGTGCAGAGGGAGCACAGATTGACCCAAAAGGGTCTGCAACACACTACTTCTTTAACTCACTGTACATTATACATGTATATCTCATTAGAGTGATTGTTCCTGGCCTGCATGATTGATAAAAGTAATCCATTACAACTGCGCAAAATGCATGTAACTTTTATATATCTAATTCAAAGTCTGCTAGGCCTTAAACCTTTTCCAGCTGCATACAACTGTAGGTCTAGGTTTGTCTGCACTCAAAGAGTAATATTTTGTTTAATTGTTGTGATTAACCTTTAAAACTGTCAAAAACAAACTGATGTTTGCAATTGAGGGCAAGTGAGGTCAACATGATCAATGCTTATATTTTATGTTTGTTCAACTTTGAAACATGGACTGATGGAAACAGTATGCAGTTACATATAAATTATATAAAGTACAATATTTTAACAGGTTGGGGACATTCACCAAAAAGGTCATAATAACATTTTTCAGAGCAAAAATCCTAATTTTTGAATTTAGCAAAAATATTGAAAAGTGCATTTGTACACATGTACATGTAGGTCAAAAGTAGCAACTTTTGGTTAAATTTTTCGAGAAAATAAGTTGATAAATCAGTCAGAGGACTTATTGAAATAAGTGATTTTTAAATCACTTATTTAAGTACATGTAGCAAATTCGAAGTTTTGTCACAAATTGTGATTTTGTAGTTTTACCAAAATTTTAAACCACATAGGTTTAGATAATATCTTTTCATTAGTAAAATTGAAAAAATGAACTTTTTGCTTCTTTTAGGTAGCAAGGTTTATGCCTTTGATGAAATCATTTAGCTGCAAATTCTATTTTAGTTGAAAAAATGCTATAATAATGGCTGTACATAATGAACTGATACTTTCTTAACAGATTTTTCCCAGCAGTGGGAGTATTTTTCCTGTAAAATTCAAGGTTTCATCTTACAGATTATGGAATAAAATTCTACTGTTTGCGATCAAAATTTCACTGTTCGGGGGTGTTGAAATTAGTGGGGGTTATTAAAATAATGATACTTAAAGAAGTGATTTTTTGGAAGGAAATTGAGGTATGATACTTAAACAAGTGATTTTAATGTCATTATCCTAGATTCAGTACAAGGTCATCACCTGACATGACCCGGTCATCCTATCAACACAGATGTTGGTTCTGATAATTTTAGCAACATAATTAGTCCCTGGGTCATTAGTATTCTATATCTAAAGCTACAATAAAATTAAATCACTTAGTTTAGTGATTAATTTGTACTACTTAAATAGGTGATTATTAAAGAAAGACAACTCTTACTTCCAACCTTTATGGACATAATGTTACTTGAATCAGTGATTTAGAAAATCACTCATTTAAATAAGTCCCCTGACTGTAAATTGATCCCTCTGAAAAACAGAATCTTCCAAGGGATCAAACTCGTAAACAACTTAGTATTAAGAAAAGATACTAACCAAAAGTTGTTGCCTTTCATGTAATCATTTGCACTTTTTAATATTTTCCCTTATGTTAAATTTAAAAAAAAAAAATTTTTGCACAGGAAATTTATATCCCATTTGGGTATTATATCTCAAACAAGATATTATAACCCATTTGAGGAAGATCCCCATAAATGGGTACTATCCCCAATTATGCAAAATTGGGTATCAATTTACAGTGATAAATAATTGAAATTTGTATTTATTATAATGACTGTGATGGCGCAAATATTCATAAATGGCAACATTTTCCCCTTTAGAAACATAGTTTAAATGAGAACTGAATACAAAGATAACAGCCTCCAAAAATCCTACTTGTTGAAGGCTTTGAACTTTTATCATAATATTGTTCTGTAATGTTTATTGCTCATTATGTTACAGATTAGAAGAATATCCTTACAAGAATTCATGTTTCATGCTTGAGAAAGCGTTCTGTGAGTCAGACATTTGGAGGGAAGGTGAGTGGTCATGCTGAAGTTATAGGGGTGTTTGTAAGGGATTCTATAGGTTCAGTAAGGGGAACATTTAGGGTTTACCCCTATCCAGGAAATAATGTATTTGACCATGGGTATATGCATGATATACATGTAAGCAGATGAGAAATGCCACTCAGGGCTGTCAATGTGCTGTTGATGTTCTTGTAAAGAAGACTAGCAGATCAACAGAGAGTAAGGTTATATCAAATGCTAGCAGAGCTATAATATTGTGAGGACACTTTGTACTGGGTTAGTGGGTATAAAGTAAATGTATTATAAGTTGATCTAATTTAAGCAAATTTGACAGAGCAGGCTGTAATAGCCCTCATTGTCTAGTAGTGATAGACTGTCCCACTCGTAAGGACAGACTGTTCCAGCCCACACTGTCTTATAGTGACAGACTTATTGATTGATTGTTGGTTGCTTAACGTCCAGTGGCTAGTGACAGACTGTCCCACTCAGAGGACATGCTGTAAGCTTAAGGTTGTATCATATTTGTATATACATACATGAAATGGTTCGTTGTTGCTTTATATCGGCAAAGAGCCAGTGTGTATATTCTAGTTTTTTGTACATAAATGTATAATTAATAGATATAGTTATAGATTTTTGGTTACACCATATTGTTTATGAACAGCTTCAATCTATGTTTTTACTGGAACGAGTGATGTGGAATCATATAAGATATAAGAGCCTTACTGATACAAATTACAATTTTAACATATTTAATCTTTTGGCAAAATGTTGTCATTTACATATATACAAAATTTATCCCTATTGGGATTCTGAGTCCAGATCAATTTTGGAAAATCACTCTGGACTCAGAATCCTAAAAGGGATTAATACAAAATAGTACAGAGACTGAGAGATACAAGTTGTGCCAATTTTGACCTTAGGCTTAGCCTTAGGATCAGGATAATTTGGAAATGAATGTTTGTGCTATGATAGCAAATGTCTTGAAATCCAAAGTTTATATTTTACTCACTGAACATTGATACCTATTTTGGGGTATAAAACCAATTTATAAGGATCTTCCCCAACCTGTTAAGTCAGAAGACTTGCACAGATCATCAGTTGACAGTTATGACGTCTTGTACGGCTTTTTTATTTTAATTTTTCCTGAACACCATCCTTCTACGTCAAAAATACATTACTGTTAATGAATTTAAAATTTTATAATTTCAATTTACCATCTTCATTCGGGAAAAATCATAAAATTTAAACTTGCAGGCTCAAGTCAATAAATCTGACGTCCATTTTGAAATCTAAATATTCTAATTTTAAACCAAAAGTCGGATCGGAAATTAACATATATTTCGGAATTTCATATACTAGTTTCGGCCATTTGTTTTTCGGTTCTAGTCGGCCCATCGCTGCATATTAAACATTATTGATATTGATGGCCTTATGGTTACACAAGATCATGTTTAATTGTGTTGTGTGTTGTCTCAGTGTTGTATAACCTATTTCTCCTTTTATTAAATTTTCCCGGTCTTTGCATCTGAAAAAAAATATCCGGTATATATATGATTTTTTTTCAGAGACAAGTGCCTGTGGGTCTTTGGTCTGTATATGTAACATAAAATAATCACGGTTCCACATGAAATATTGTCCGTTGGACTGACAACATTTCATTAAAAATAATTCATTATAAAATAGTGTCCTTGTCCATGAAATTTTGTCACCTCCTTTTGGACCGTATATTTCACTATGAAATTCCTGGGACATAATATATTGTTAGTTTAATAGTCCCAGGAAATGCTGTCCATGACAATGTCCATTGCAATATTTCACTGTGAATTACTGTCCATTAAAATAATCGTTAATTTTAATTAAACTGTTGAATCATGATCAATTATGTCTTCCCTGAGAAATCATTTGCCATGACATTGTGGGCATATCGGTATTAAACTATTTTTTTGAAATTTTCAAGTCATGAAAAGTGTTTGTTTAACCATAAATTGCTGCATACATTAATTATGCAGGTATGATTGTTATCATCAATCAAATAAAACACTTTAATGATACAGCATATTAAATGGTTATATCATCCCTTTTATGGGACAAAATTTTATGACAATCCATAGATCTATGAAATATTGTCTCAGTTTACATAATATATTACCTTGAATAATCGCCCTTTAACGAGACAAAATTTCATACTATCCATCTGTAATAAAATATTGTCTGTACATGGACAAAACTTCATATAGAAATTTGTTCTTCTCTGGACATTATTTCATAGGTGGAGACAAAATATCATGATACAAAATCATGAAATATTGTCTTGGGAGATTGTCTTGGGAGACAATAATTCATCAGGACAATGTTATTCTTTACCATGATAAATAGAAGAAGAATATCTAGACCAGTTTAACGTCCCACTTCCATTAAACTTAATTGTGATAACCGTCTTAATACTCTGATTGCACATCCATTAAAATTGGAACAGCGTTAACTTTAAGTTGTAAAAACAACCAACCCTCGCTTATATATGTCCCTCTTCATTGTCCGTTATACAGTTTTCCTTTTTATAAAATAAGAAGATGTGGTATATGATTGCCAATGAGACAACTATCCACAAGAGACCAAATAACACAGAAATTAACAACTATAGGTCATCGTACGGCCTTCAACAATGAGCAAAACCTATACCGAATAGTCAGCTATAAATGGCCACGAAATGAAAAACGTAAAACAATTCAAACGAGAAATCCAACGTTTGTTTATATTTTAGCATGCGTTCGTAATCATTTTTCAGGTTACTATAGTTCTAATTCTACGTTTATGTACCTCTTTTTGGTGAGTTTCGACACGTTGAATAACATCTGTATGTTATAACGTTCTACTTAGAGTTTCGATTACTATATTGGCGTTATCCTCTTCCCAGGAGTTTCACATCATTATAAAGATTCACACTCGTTCATCAAAATAATGAAAAAGAAATAATATACGGTATCAATATATTTCAGTATCTCTGAATCACAGTGAACCTTAAACATGACGAATAATCCTAACGGATGTCTCTGATTGAACACCCCTTAAAATTGGACTCGCTTTCGTGAAATTTGGTACCATGTGAATCTGTAACAGCACAACATAAGAACAAACTATTAGTTATCTTTTTTTCAGAGGAATAGGAGCCGACCGGGGATGACAAGGAACTATAGTTTTTGCCAACGCCCTCTTCACTTTTTGGATTGTTTTTTATTGCAAATGATAGACACTGACTAACTACTAGACTATCTGAATCATTCCTCAGTAAAGGACCTAAATGTTGTCCCCCGTCAATCATTAATTGGAATGAGTGTCGTAACATCATCAACGACTCACTCCGTACTTACTGCACAAAATGGATAAAACGAGAAAAAGATGACAAAAAATCCTTAGATTCTTTCTTTAATTCAGTAATGAACATAGACTATTTTACTCCTAACAACACCCATAATAGCCCTATTTCTCGTATCAAACATAAGCTAAAAGAACTCTCCAAATAAATGTTTTTTTCCCGGCTGTTAAGGCTGCCAAGAATATCATTATTGTTTGACGTAAATTTTACATTGAGGTTTTGCAAAAGGAAATCACGAATTCACCAACATTGCAACTGACTCCATTTTCGGAAAATGACATCTGTAACAAACATAAACTTTTACAAGCAGAACCAAATACAATGAAAGTTCTAACTATGTACTGGCTTCCGAAGCTGCACAAAACACCTTACAAATATAGATTTATTTCGTCATCAAGCCATTGTTTTTCCACTATTAAACTGTCTATTCTTCTTACTAGTACACTTGGTACAATCAAAAACCTGGTAATAAATTGTTCAAATAAGGCCTTTGAAAATAGTGAAATTAATTACTTTTGGAGTGTCAAAAATTCGTTGGAAGTACTTGATAAATTGCATGCTTATATTGTTGATTTCGAATCTGTTCAAAGATTTGATTTTTCTACCCTATATACCACTTTGCCTCATATTCTCATTAAGAAAAAATTCACACACCTAATTAAATGAGTATTTAAAAAGCCAAAATGCAAATATATATGTTCAAACTCTTTTAGGTCATTTTTTAGTAACAACAAACAAAAGAACTATGTCAATTGAACCTGCCTTGATACGATAACTGCACTTGCATTTTTACTAGATAACATTTTTCTTCGCTATGGAGATTCCGTATATCGTCAAGTTATCTGAATTCCAATGGGGACTAACTGTGCACCACTTATTGCGGACCTGTTTCATGTATTGTTATGAGTTACAATGTATGACTAAAACTAGCAAAGACCCATCGAAACAACATCTGATACAAAAATTTAATAACACTTTTAGATATTCGGATGATATATTGGCTCTCAATAATGACGACTTCGGTATGTACACTGAAGATTTATCCTGCTGAACTGACTTTAAATAAAGCTAATACTAACAATCAACACTGCCCTTTCCTGGATCTTGATATCTATATCTTTAACGGGAAGCTTAATTAATACCAAAATTTACGATAAAAGAGATGATTTTTCATTTCCTATTGTTAATTATTCATTCTAATATGACGTGCTTCTTTCGCTTTGTAAACAACACCGTGATAAAATTCTCGATATTTCTATACTTAGCGCAGACTCAGAGATGTGCATATTGGTGGCTGTTACTATCATACTGAACTATTAGTTCGGTCAAGAAAGACAACTCGTACTCAAAAAAGGGAGGTAACTCAATTTTCTTATAAGGGAAACGAGTTTATCAGTATTTCCGAGGAACATGTTGATTTTTGCACGCCAACTTGTGTACATAAATAATTAAATATCGGATCACAAAAGGTTTTGAATGTTTGATGATCGATATCCACGCTTAATTCCAATAGTATAATAATTTGTAATCTTAATAGGAAACCGAGTTTAGAATCAAATTGGAATTATTACGGTTTATATATTATAAATAGTTTTTATAATACGAGATGCGTATCTATTGTAAAAAATTCTTTCTTAATCTTTGAACATTTTTCTAAACATGCAAATTCTGTTTAGAAAAATAGAAGTATTTGATTTTATAAGACAAAAACAGAGAAAAGAAAAAAAAAGAAATCTGCCAACCTAAAATATTGAATTTTGCCATGTCTGGTTGAATGACTATATATATTTTGATTCTCATACAGACAATGCATTACATCTGTACAGAGAAAAATTATAAACTCATATTAACTCAATTTAACTATTAACGAACTTAGTGAAATGTTTGCTTCTTTTTTCATCTTTGAACTGCAAGATGGCGAAATGCATCTAAGAAATCTAACAAATTTTGCAAGTTTAAAATAGAGAACGATTTAAAACAAAATTGATTTCACTTCTTCAATACATGTGGTATACATAACTTTAGCCACTAATAATAAATAAAAAGTATTATGTAATCAAATTTGGTTAAATATCTATTTCAAGTTTATGATCTTTATATAGTGTAAAGGTAGTAAGGTAAACATAAATAAACAGAATTAACACCTTTATGTTATTGCGTCAAAAACGATGATGTCCTACTGATTTTATGGCCATCATACTCATACTTATATTCCTTAGTTTTAAGAAGACACATTTACTTTAACCAATTAATTGTATGGTGTGTTATAACTTTGGATATCAAAATAAAGGTAAATACAGAAAAGCGCTTTGGACGCATTAAATCATTAAGTGATATTGTCAATGTTAGACATGAATCCCAAAGTTTTTCATTTGGAAAAGTTTTTTTTTCTCTAATTTCATTTTACATTTTAGCAGATATAATAAGTACAAGTTGACTCGAAAGACTGCATGTGTCATGACTAAACAATTGCAGAGATTGTTTAAACACTCTTTTTTTAGTTAGGCTAAATTCCTTTATAGAAGTTAAGCGGAACTTAACCTTTTTTCGCTTAAATTTCAATATCTCAACATCTCGGGTAACTTTTTCCGTTTGTGCATCCAGATAGTACCACCGTGTCCTTTAACTATTTTCTTGATTTAAAACACTCAGTATGTCCATATTGTATGACAAACACTAGCTCGTGATCTTTATTCAATACCGTTTGAATTCAACTCTTTTTCTAACTTTCAGCGCACCCATCGCACATTCTTTGAAAGATCATGTTAAGCGTGATAGAACAGTTTAGTGTTGTTATTGATTTATTCAGTCGGTTGTCCATTGAATTAATACAAGCTTCCCATGAAGGGTTGAGACATAAAAAAGAATGAACAATTTTAGTGTGAATGCACCTTGAAATACAAATGAGAAATTTT